TCTTGCTCTCTCTCTCCCTCTCTCCCTCTCGCTCTCCCTCTCCCTCTGCCTCTCTCTCTCTCTCTCACTCTCCCTCTCTCCGCCTCTCTCCCCTCGTCCCTCTCTCTCTCTCTCTGTCTCGCTCTTACCAACAGTCGCTTTCGCATAACAATTGATAACAATATTTATTACAATTATTCATTATTATTATTATTATTAATAGTAGTAGTAGTAATATTATTATCAGTTATCCTACTATATATAAAAAAATAGTGTTTGTGTGTGTGTGTGCCACTTTGCATCCACTTCCGGATGTCTGTCCGGAGGATATCTCAAGAAGGGACGGGTATTGGGTACTGCACACATATCAGATTTTTAAAAATTAGCTATTTTCGCAATTAAATTTAGTTTTTGTAAATACCTCTTTGTTAGGTTTATTAGCATAGACCGAAAGTGAGCTGTCCCTATATAAAGAGGCCGAAGCGGTTGTTTATCATTTTTTTTAGGTGTCTTCTGAATGAGTCTGAATGGGCCGAGACGGGGCCAGGGTTGAAAAGTCGCGAAGCGGCTTTTCAACCCTGGTTATTATTAATTAACAATATAACAGCTATCAGATAAATCCAACAAATCAATAAAATGTGCCACGCCTAACAACTGAACTGAAAATGCGCTGCTACTTTGTCGATGGAGTGACGGCTGGGCTTTCCAAATCTCCATCAGCTGCTTTTACGGCTCCCGTAGGCAACGGGTAGCCGAGTTGTACGAAATCGTTGTAGTAGAGCCCGACAAGGTTCCGCAAGGTATCGCAATTCGCGTAGATTTCTTTTCTGATCATGCTTCTTTTGCCATCGGAAAATGCTGCAGTATTGGCTGGCTCATCCATGATGCGGTCGTGGATCTGGAGAATTTTTTGTGGTTTTTTTTTTGGCAAGAGAGGAGAAGCTAGCAGAGAAGCTTTCGAGGGGGAGCTAGCAAATATTATAGTGGAATTTTTCCGCCTAAAAAAGAGTTTTGTCATAAATCATTATTTTGAGCAAACTTCAGCAATATTTTAAGCCGAAAAACTACCAAAAACAACTCTGAAAATTTTTTTGGCTGCAATTTTGGTAGAAAATCGCTATTTTTTGTATTTTTTTAATCAAAATTTGTGGGCAATTAACATTACGCAGAAATTTCGGTAGGCAGAAATCCATTAGACAGAAAACCGTTATACCGAAAACCCATTACGCAGAAAACCATTACACAGAAAATCCATTATGCAGAAATCCATTAAGCCGAAAGCCATTAGACCGAAATTTCATTATACCGAAATCCCATTACACAGAAAATCACTACGCAGAAAAACTATTACGCAGAAAATTATTATATAGAAAAAATATTTCGCAGAAATTTGTTACCCCATCCGTTCCACTCCCATAAGATTCTATATACAAAAAAAAAGTTGTATCCGCGGTCGTTGAGGTTGTTTCCATCATTGACTCGCGGACTTTACCCAGGCAGTCTTATCGGTTCGAAAATTGTGCGAGATTCCCGATACTCACCCTCCTCTCTAGACTTCTTGAAACAAGTTTTGAAGACTTTCTCCGAACCCTGTTTGCTAACTTTCACGGATTTTATCCACCAAATTTTTTGCCTTATGATGCGTTGTCACCAACTCGGAAATTTCCAGCAAAGAGAATTTTTCCTTGTACGGAAATTTAGGTGTAAGGGTCTTCTGCGTAATGCATTTTCTAGGTAATGTATTTCTGCGTACTGGTTTTTCTGTATAATGGTTTTCTGCGTAACGGATTTTTGCGTATTGAAATTTCTGTGTATTGAAATTTCGATATAATGGGTTTCTACGTAGTGGTTTTCTGCATAATGTATTTTCGGCATAATGGATTTCTGCGTAATGGTTTTCTGCATCATCAATTTTCGGTATAACGTTAGTAAATCAAAATTTGTAGGGTTTTTGCATTTTGAAATAGCAAAAATTGTTAAAAAATACTTTCATTATTTATTTTAGGAAAATTCGATACGTAGATAAAAATTTCGTTGCACTATAACATTAATTCATTCCCGCCAATAACTAGCCTCTACCTAGGGCCGATTGCATCCCTTCCAATCACCTTATTCCAAGCTAATAAAAGAAAATAGATTATTAATATAAAGTTAGTAAAGAAAGTTAGAAAAAGATATAGTAATTGCTTAAATGAGCTCAATTGGTCAAAATAATTTAGTAAGGCCTGTTTCGACCCTTTGTCCAAGACAGGCAAGACATTCGCTAGGGTCGGGTTCCTCAGTAACCTACTCGTTTCTGAACCCTTATCGGCACGTTAGCTTCGTCGAGAATCTTCCCAAACTCTTCAGCCATTAGCGTCGTGTTGGGGCTGTATCTCAAGCGGAAATCCGACGGCTTACAGTACCTAAAAAGAGCGCGGAAAATTTGCATAGAACGGAAAGGACTACCAGGTTTGCGGGGCAAAATGGTTGAGGACACGGCGGTGGCGATCGTCGAATTGAAATTGGGGCCGCGCCCTGTTGAAGGCGTCGTACAAATTAGCGGCAAATTCGTGCACGTCCATCCCTAGACACTCGTGGTAGTGCCTAAATTTGAGTCCCATTCGCTAAATTTGATTCGAGAACTCGCTTACTTTTGCCTAAGCCTAAGCCTAAGCCTAAACCTAAGCCTCACCTAAACCTAAGCTAAACCTAAGCCTACTAGAAATTAACCCACAGACAAAGATGCATGTAGCCGCTCAAGAAGCGCTCAATCGGCTCGCGGGAGATGGAAAATTTCACAGGTGGCCGGGTCGCTTTCCAGGTTCGAGGACGTCGACGTAGTTTTACCACATCTGCATTCGACTGCCGGCAGTTTCTGTAAGATTACGTGTAAGCCTAAATCTAAACCCAAGCCTAAGCCTTATCCAGCCCTTTCCTTCAAACCAGAACATACCCATGCGTCCCCGAACCACCATCCATCCCGTCACCGTGATATGCGTGAAATACGTCGCATAACACGAACGTCATCATCGTCGACATCACCTTAGGGACGCGGCAACTCTTCAGACCTGTGTGTCCGTCGTTCATTTTTGGGTGCTGAAAAGCTTAGGTTTCAGTATATCTTTTCGTGAAGCCTAAGCCTAAGCCAAACTTAAGCCCAGGCCAAACCTAGGCGTAAGCCTATCCCTAAGCCTAAGCATAAACCTACGCCTAACCCCAAGGCTAGGCCTAAGCCTAAGCCCACGCCCAAGCTTAAGCCTTCCGCTCCTTACCACTCGTATATCCGGATGGAGACGGCCCCAATTTTCCGCGGCTTCCGAATAGATCTGAAGGTCCTCGGCATCTCCCTTTTTGAAGCATCGCACAGCCAGGGTATACTGTAGAGAGGAAAGGGCACAAAATAGAGACCACAGATTCCGGGAGCGCATTTTAGCCTCTAGAAAAAAAATACAAATTGATCCAATCCGATCGATGGCTTAGGCTAGAGTGCGGCTTATTCAAACCGGGTTTGAATAAGATTTCCGTTATTCAAATCAAACCGGTTTGATTTGAATACGGGATCCTTATTCAAACCAAACCCGGTTTGAATAAGGATTCCCAAGTCAAACCAAACCAAACCGGTTTGAATAGTTTGAACAAGGTTTGAATAAGAACCAGTGTCCGAAACAGTCTGTTTTCGGCACCATTTTTGCGTTTTGGCACCAATCCCTTTGTGACTTCACTTTAGAGTGATTCAGCGGCATTCCTGCTAGGTTTTTGGGGTTAGCGGATCATTTCGAGACCTTTTTCTTTCAGCGCTGCCAAGGTTATCCCGACCATTTGGATGCTTGTGAAAGGTTGAGAATGCCAAGCCTATCGTTGAAAAAGTGCGTAAACCCCGTAAATGATGCCAATTTCATCATTATATTGATCGCACAAGGTTTTAGACGGGATGCCTCGAAAACTTAGCCGATTAGCATCCATCCAATCGATTAACATGCTGATTTGCCTGTTGTTCAAACCAATTCAAACCAACTCAAACCTGGTCGGTTTGGTTTGAATAACGGATCCTTATTCAAACCAAACCGGTTTGATTTGAAAAGCAGATTCTTATTCAAACCGCCCTTATTCAAATCAAACCGGTTTGAGTCGTGATTTGATTTGAATAAGCCGCACTCTAGCTTAGGCCTAGGGTTGCACTGTGATTTACTCCCCCGGCCCCCAGCCGGGAGGTTTTGGCTATAAATTTGTTGTTTTACATTATTATAAATTTTGTGACTTTTCTTCAAGGGGGAGGGGGTAAGTAAAGTCTAGCCTGTCGACAAAAACTGAAACTGCGGAGGGACCGGAATTCTCTTTTATATCTGCCAAATTCGGCGCTTTCACTTTATCACGAGCACTCCCGCATATCATGCAGACTGTTGCACTTTTGCTCTGAACAAACCGGCCCTTTGGGGAAGCATAGCTAATTTTTCAGGCCGAAAGAGCGAAACCAGCCTTTTTGGGGCTGCTCTTGGGTGGTGCTGATCAGCCGAGCAGAGCAAGATAAAGAGAGAGGAGAGAGGCATATATCGCATGTCGTCAGCATCAGAATGCCAGCCACCGCTTGCCCCTGAAATTTTTGTTCCTGACTTATGATGATGATGGAAGGGCCGCGGTTTCGCTGATTTTCTCCGGCCTGGCTCGTCCCGATGTTTCGGGCTTCGCGTGAGAGAGAGTGAGCGATAGAGAGCGAGAGATAGAGAGGGATCTTACACGCCATGTATATTTAGTACTTACTTTTGGCTCTCTCTTCCTCTCGCTCCCTATCTCTCGCTGCCTCTCTCGCTCTCTCTATCGTTCGCTCTCCCGCTCTCTCTCGCTCTCTGTTTCTCTCTCCCCCGTCTCTCACGCTCCCTCTCTTTCCCTTGCTTCTCCTATTCTTTTTACGCTCTAATACTTTGCTGTTTCCTAATCAAATTCCGTAGCGTAATCCACGTCCTTTATACACAAAATAACAGAAATAAATATATGCATAAAAACAATAAATACCCAAAGAAATTCCGGACTTGCATCCTCTACAAAATCCAAGTCCTCGGTCCACGCTTCCGGTCCCGGCTTTGGAATTTCGAGTACAGACGCTTCAGGTTTTTCTTGGCACGTCGATTAGCAGCTTTTTGCTTCTTATTCTGTTTGCTATTTTTCCGACCTTTTCCGTTTTTCCGCTCTTTCCGCTCTTTCCGGTCTATCCGATCTTCCCGATCTTCCCGGTTTTTCTTTGCCTTCCCTCTCAGTGCCTTCTTCTTCCTCTTCAACTTCTCGAAAACGCCATCCCTTTTCCTATGTTTTTTCCCGCGTTTTCGGTCAATTTCCAAGGTTGGAGCGGCAAAAGCGGCGGCTTTCATGTCATCATCGAATGCCGCATTCGATTCGGCAATCATTTTTAGGTCATCCTTAATCGTCTTCGAGGTTACGGTAGTTGTTTGGGGCACAAGGAGAGGCATCATTTTCTGCAGGGCCTCGTTTGCATGCCCGTTGACTTTGACTTCCGGCTCGATTTTCTTTTGTGCTTCGCTTGTGGTGCTATTCGCAATCGTGGGAATCGGGAAGCCGAGCTCGATAAAATCATCGTAGTAGAGGCCGACAAGACTTCGAAGCGTGTCACAATTTGAGTAGATCTCCTTGAGCATCGCCTTTTTCTTGTTGTCGGAGTGGATGCCAAAGTTGGCCGGCTCGTCGGTGACGCGACTGTGGATCTGGAAGGGTACTGTAGCTTTGAGAGAGAGAGAGAGAGAGAGAGAGAGCGAGCGAGAGAGAGGGAGAGGGAGGGAGAGGGGCGAGAGAGACGAGCGAGGGTGAGGAAAAGAGAGACAGCTATAGTGCGAGAGAGCGAGAGAGGGAGAAAGGGAAAGAAAGGGAGCCATAGTGAGATAGAGCGAGAGCGAGTGTGAGAGGGAGTATGAGAGCGAGATAGACAGTGGTAAATCGCGCTACAAATACCTGTTTCTGAATCTTGGCCGGCACCTTGGCCAGCTGCAGCACCTTCACAAACTCGTCAGCCATTTGTGTTGTATTCGCGCTATACTTGAAACGGTAGAGGTTCGGCTTGTTGCAGTACCTGTATCAGGGTAACTATAACGCAAAACCTTGAGAACTACCAGGTTTGTGGGGCAAAGTGCTTCAGGATTCTTCCATTTTTGCCGCGAGTCCTTAAGCGGGGCACTCGCTTCCGGAAGGCAGCATAGAGTGCTTGGGCAAAGTCGTGGACGCCCATCCCGGCGCAGTCGTTCCATTGCCTAAAGAGGATGTTGCGTAAGCCTAAGCCTAAGCACAACCACTCCTAAGCCTAGCCTAAGCCTAATCCAATGACTAAGCCTAAGACTATGCCCAAGTCTAGGCCAAGCCTTGCTAGCTTATAAGGAGTGCTTTTTTTGAGTCATACGCAAATCATTTCCAAAGATAGTGCATTCGATCGAGAATTTCATTCTGAGTAACGCTATAAGGTTCATTTTTGCAGAATGGCTGTCCCCGATTTTATAAAATTAAAAAACTAAAAGCTATTTTCATAAATCCCTCGGCGCGCACCGATGGCAGGTATGGCTAGTCACCGGGACAAGAGGGGTCCAGATGGCTTCCGAACCACGATTGACGATAGCGCAGTCGGTAGCGCGGTTGTCTTTGAAACTTTTTTGAACTTCTTTGGGAGGTTCGATTCTTCCAAATGTAATTTTTTTTGCTTTTTTATGGTCAATTGCGTTTCCGTACATAGGGATGTGATTGTTCCGATTTTGAGTTGGCAATTGCTTCAAAGTTGATCAAAGTGAAGTCTCCAGGCCCGTGCCTTGTCACTGTTCACCGGGATTTTACTATAGTCGTGCCTGCTCATAGAGCGGATTCCATGGTATTGAAGCCAAAAGCCATTCACCGCTATAAAAATTCAAAAAGCAAAAGAAATTACACGTGGAAGAATCGAACCTCCCAGAGAAGTTCAAAAAAGTTTCAAAGACAACTGCACTACCGACTGCGCTATCGTCAATCGTGGTTGAAAAGCCATCTGGGCCTCTCTTGTCCCGGTGGCTAGCCATACCTGCCATCGGTGCGCGCCGAGGGATGTAGGAAAACAGCGTTTTAGTTTTTTAATTTTATAAAATCGGGGACAGCCATTCTGCAAAAATGAACCTTATAGCGTTACTCAGAATGAAATTCTCGATCGAATGCACTATCTTTGGAAATGATTTGCGTATGACTCAAAAAAAGCACTCCTTATTAGCTTTGCTTCCCGCGGCTCTTCCTTTCGCCCTTACATGCACAGCGCCATATAGCCGCTCACGAAGCGGCTGATCGGCTCTCGGGACACGGCAAAATGTACGGGTGGCTGAGCGGCATGCCACGCGCTCGGTTTTCCGCGCAGCTCCCGATTCTGCTCGTGCCACTCGGTGCAGTCCCTGAAATTATAGGCTTGTTTGCTTGGAATTTGTTTAGTGAACCTTAAAAAAAATTATAGGCAAAACCTGTCTTTTCCGTTTTGTGTGAAAACAGCGCCGAAAAAACGCACCCCCGAATGTCATGTCCGGAGTCGGCTTTGTCGCCATGATACGCATGGTAGACGTCACACATCACGAACGTCATCATCGTCGACATCACCTTCGGCACTTGGCAACTTTTCAGGCCGTAGTGCCCGTCGTTGACGGCGGGGTCCTGGAAAAGTAAGGATGGGGGATGATATTTTTGCTGAAATGAATTTTTGATGGTTGTGGAGCTCTTGCCGATTTTCCCTCCCTGTTTAAATGCTTATAATTTACATTTTGGCAATGTTTAAGAGGAACATTAGAAAAAATTGTCGTACTTTGTCGAATGAGTAAACGATGATTAAAATTGGTTCAAAATATGGCTATTTTCCTGTCCAAAACACCGAAATGTGTTGTGTTTGTATGAAATTTAAAAAGAAGTTACGTTTAAAAAACGTGAAGCCTGGTTCGATGCGCTTCGTAAAAAATGTGCAATATTTAAAATTTCAAACCATTAAAAATTTAATAAGCACAAGTGCAATAAAGAAATGCGCATTGCATTAATAGAGGGGTTCGAAAGGTTTTTTCTGCGGGTTTTAACGCTCACCAATCGTTCATCGGGATGGTCTCGGCCCCAGTGCATCGCGGCATTCGTCGGTATTTTGAAGCTGGCAATGTCGGCCTCCTTAAAGCACTGCTCCGCTTCAACATGGTGTAGCCAAGAGAGTTGGGCGCAAAATAGGAGCCACCGTAGCCCGGGGCGCATTTCAGGGATTGAACTAGGCTTAGGTTTGAGCTTAGCTTAGACCGGCAGCTCGTGCTCCTGGGCGGGAGTTGAAACTATGCTCGCGTTTCGCTTTATCCCCATCCCCCACCCGCTAATATACTTTTTTGGGAGGCGTAGATGGGCTTGAGATGGGTGCGCACGCGGCGCGCACGGCATGCCTGGGTCTAAATGATGGCTGGTGCTCCGATGGTTATGGGAGCTCGAGGGGCAGAGAACTTCTCAAAGCATCACCGCTAATGCGCCCCAAAAAAGCGATCGCACCCTCAGGCAGTTTTCCAATTACGGCATCCACTCAACTGCGGGGGGGGGGATGACCACGGCAGCACTATTTACGGTTATGGCGGAATTTATGGGAGCTGCCGGGTCGCGAGGGTGGCACGGCTTCTGGATGCCAGGCTTTTTTGAGCTTGAGGCTCCCGCTCCCCCACATGACTCTAGGAGCACCACCAAAACACGAGGACGTAGAACACGAGTAGCACGAGCAAGCTGTCATGATGATTCTAACGTCATTCCTAGTCAAAATGCTTTCAAAGGAAGACCGGCAATTGTCAAAGAAAATAATGTAGATGCCTAAAGCCGAAATGCCGAAACGCCGACAATCAGATTCCGGGGATTCTGGAATGCATGAAAGAGACGATCCGACTAGCAGGGAGATGCTGAAAAGTCGGCACAAAAATGGTTTCTGATAATAAATAACGTTTTAAATCTGGTTTTTCGTTAAAAACGTTTAGTGCGTATAGATGTGAAAACATCACAGAAAAGGCGCCGCAGGCGAAAGTTTTTATGGACAATTGAAGCAGTAAGGAAAAACCAGCGCGGCAGGCGAAAAAGAATAGGTCACAATTAGAACCTGTAAATTATCTTCGATGCGTGGTGTAGCTTCCAACAGCCTGTATCGTAGTTTCAAGAAAAAATAATTTATTTCTATATACACGCAAAAAATTCAATTTATTCCTATCCAGTCCGCAACAAATTCCGGCCCAACCTCCGTACGGTCCGGTTGTAGATGATCTTCATATTGCGGACAGCGCGATTGACGTTTACCGGGGTTCTTAGCGCCGGCTTTCGGTGGTGTCTGCGTTTTTTGTAGCGCATCGGGACCAATAGGTCTGGTCGAAAATTTGGAAGACCTGCTAGAGTCGTCGTTTCAAAGGCCTCCTGATGAAAGTTGAGGAACATCCGTTGCATTTTCGGGCTCTCCGACGCCGGCTTGACAATGTTTGGCTTGGCTTCCGGGTTGAAAAGTAGCTCCTCGTCCTCAAGGATGTAAAAATCGGGATTCTTCCCCACTTCTCGAGTCCGCCGGACGAGCTCTTGGGTCTCAGGTACTTTTGGTTGATTCGGGTACACGGTAGTTGGGATCGGGTATCCTAATTTGATGTAGTCATCGTAGTAAGTGGCCACCAGGTACTGTAGCGTCTCACAATTCGAGAAGATCTCCTGGCGAAGGTAGGCTTTCCGGTCGTCGGATTGCGGATTCGGGTTCTTCTTCTCGTCGCGGACTCGAGAGGAGATCTACAAAAGTTATCCCTTACGTGTTTTCAAGACATTTTCCAATTTTTCGAAAAATTTTCCGTATGGTGTTTGGCCATTCACATGTTGCTCCAGTTTTTGAATCGGAAAGGTGTAAAAGCGGTGGCATGAGTAATCGTGATTCCGCTACGCTACGCTCTAATTAAAATATCGCTACTAGTTTCTAATATGGGGAAATTCGCTTTCCTTAATGCTTAGGCTTAGGCTTAGGCTTATGCTTAGGCTTAGGCTAAGCATAAGCCTAAGCATACGCTCTCTCCCTCTCTGCATGAAGCCTAAAAATTCAGATATGAACCGCATTCGATAGCCATCAATCAGCACATCAGCACCCACGCCCAGGCTTAAACTTGAACCTAAGCCTAAGCCTAAGCATAAGCCCAAACATGGGACTAAACCAATTTTGTCCAAAGCCGTTAACCTATCAATTGTAATACCATACCTTCTTCGCCAACCGATCCGGCACCCAGGCTTCCTTCAGAAAGCCCTCAATCTGATCGGCCACCTCTCCGCCGTCCGACGAGTACCGTACCCTCGGAATTTTCGCGTCGCAATACCTAGATTCACAAGCTCACGCTGGAGTGAATCAGAAGAATCAATTGCGCGTTAAAATAACTCACCAAACTTGCGGTACAAAGTGGTGGAAAATTGGCTGCTCGTCACCGGGGGCCGTCCATTCGATTGGATTTCGATCCAGGGAATTGTATAGTGATTTCGCAAATTCGTGCACCGTAAGGTTCCCGCAGTTTTGCCGACGGCTAAGGGAATTCGAGATTTATCCCAGTTCAAAAACAACCATAAAGCTGGTTTTAAAGGGATAACTACGGCACAAGTAGTCGGTGACGCGAGCGAACGAAAATGTCTCTGCGTCTCGCCCCTGGGCGCGCACTCTGGCCTGTTGGGTACGTGCGAAAAAGTCGACCGATGCCGTCGCTATCCCTTTAAGGGAGAGGGGAAGGCATGAGAGGTGAGAGAGAGAGAGAAAGAAAGAGAGAGAGAAAGGGAGAGAGAGACCGAAAGAGTCGATTTCAGCTCTCCAGTTACTTTATGATGCAAAAATTAACCTACTCGCAAACATCCATAAACCCGGACAAGAACCGGGAGATTGGCTCCCTCGCAATGGCGAACTCGACGGGCCGCTCGGGAATATCCCACTGCCCCGGCCTCGCCTTCAGCTCGCCACGCAGCTTTGGTCGTCGTCGGCAGAGACTGAAAATTAGGAGTTGCTACCTAAGACCAGCCTAAGCCTAAGCCAATTCTAAGCCATGCCTAGTTCAACCTGTTAGTCGAGTTCCCTGACACCATCGTTGATCCGTGGAAGGCCAAGAAGACGTCGCAGGCCACGAAGCCCAGCGTCGATGACATCACTTTTGGTATTATGCAAAAGTTGATGCCCATGTGACCATCGTTGAGGTGGACCTGAAACGCACACGTCTCGGTTTGGGCTTAGGCTGAGGGTTAGGCTTGGGCTTGGGCAGTGGCCTAGGAATTAAGAATCCGCCTACTTCGGCTTAGTCCGCAAGTAGACGTAGGTTAGGCTCATTCTATCCTTAAAAACTCACAAATCGCACATCCCGATTGTTGGCCCTCCACTTCTTCGGCATCAAACCTTCAATTTTAATGTCGGCGATATCATCCTCGGCAAAGCATTGCTGAGCCGCAAATTCCGGCGACAGCAGCAGCGCATAGATAACGAAGATCAGCACCACAATCATTCCGTAAAGTGCCAATTGACGGGCTGAGAAGCGCCGTCGGCCACCGGCCAGCCACTCCCCATTCACCATCTTGAACGCCCCCAGGCAGCCGGTGATCAAAGGGGAGATATTCTGCTTTTTTCTGGTGCGGAAGATCGGTCGCTAGGTCGGGGGCGGCAGAGATCAAGCTCCTCGTATGATACCGGGGGACGCTGAAAGCTTTTGCATTAATACGAGGGAGCGATAAAAGGAAACCTTCGATAATTTTGCTATTTCGACACTATCGTCTCTAACAGTTTTTTTTAATTAGTTATTGTTTAGCTTAAATGCATTTTACAAACTCAGAATCATCTCAATAATTTTCTGGAATTTTGCTATAAAAAGCTATATATTTTTGTATTTTTTGATGATTTGGGTTTTTGCATTGATAATAGTAAAAAGAAGCTGACAATTAGCCAAGTTTGCCAACACACTCCTCTCCATTTGTGTTACAAAAATAGAATTCTAGAGAAAGCCCCCTCCGATAATGCAAAAGCGCCCAAATTTGCCCCAACCATTAGTTTCTGCTTCGTCATTTTATTTCTATTGTCTGTCGTCAATTTTTTGGTATCTGTTTAATTTACGACGCAAATTACCCGAAATAGAGAAGTAAGTAGTAGAAAATGGCAATAATAGTAGAAATCAATTAGGTAGCCTTACAATCCTATTGAATCGTGAATCACTTGTCGAAACGTCGGTCAGACCTGGCCGTCCTCCTCGTATTGTGCACCTGCACCCTCGTAGCACTACGTCATTATTTTCGGATTAGTCGATCGCCCAGGTCAATTCCTAGAGCTTTTTATCGGAGCTGGTATCGTTTGGATTGTGGCTTAAGCTTAGGATTAAGCTTAGACTTCGGCTTAAGCTTAGGCTTTACTTAGGCGTAGGCTTGGCTTCGGTTTAGTAGAATTCGCTTCGGCTTAGGCTTAAACTTTGGCTTAGGCTTTGGCTTAGGCGTAGACACAAGTTTTTTTTGCTGTCTATAATCGAACTTTTGGTGAAAAATTTATACATAATGCACCAAAGCACCTTTGTACTACCCGCAAGCACCCGAATAATGATAAAAACATCGACAACTACATCCAAAATGACTATTTCTTCAGCGGCTCCTGTGATCGAACCCGCAGCCGTGAGATGCAAAACGCGCCAAAGATGATAATGTTCAGCATCAGCAGCGAGGCCTGAAAAGGGGAAATTGAAAGAGACTAGGGAGGTTAAAAACTGTATAAATTGATAATGCCCATTAAATGATATATTGGTAGATTAAAAAAACGTACCAAAAATGCAAACGAGTGGATTGGCCAGCCGTGAACTGGAGGAGGGCAGGTTGGGATGGCTTCGGGGAGGGTGACCTGAAAGAGATAAATTTTGATGAAAACGCGTTCTAACAAAGTGAAGATCAACGCTCTCGCTCTCGGTCTCTCTCGCTCTCTCTCAAACCCACATTCATCCTCTCCAACGTCGGGATCAACTGCCTCCAAAAGTAGAAATTCTCGGCAGATGACATGCTCACTTCTTCATTCTGATAACTGAATCTCTTCACCGCCATGTTCGACTCAGAATATCTTTGTACTGTTGGAATTACCCTAAAGACTACCTTTATTTAAAGTATTTTTATTACCCTCGATGCGTGAAATTGGCCACAATGTCGGCCAGTTTGTTTCCAAATGCGATTCCGCGTTGCAGCATCATGTCACTAGAAGTCAATCGAATAAAAAAAAATTATAAAGACAAAAATTTGGTAGATAGGATGCAAATTATTTCATGTATAGAAATTCCGCGACTGACCTAACGACAAGCAACGGATTGCAGACGTGGGGTTCGTTGAAGAGGAACACCATGTCCATGCAATGCTCGGAGACGAGGCTCATGTTTGGACCTCCTGGAATTGTATCTATTAGTAGACAGGGAGAGAGAGAGAGCGAGAGAGCGAGAGAGAGAGGGAGAGAGAGAGAAAAAGCCAATGTACCCGTTGGCTCGTCGAAAACATCATTCAAGATCACATGCACATCCGCCCCATTTTCAGCGTATATTTTTGCTTCGGCTTCCCCGTCGGCTGTGAAGTCATCTAAAAATTATCCTAATTTATTCTTAGCCAAAATTTTCACATTGATTTAGTTAAGTTAGCATTAATGTCGATTGCTGTTATTAAACGTATTTTGCGTCCTTACCCTGCATCAACTGTGTCAAGAGGTTGGTCGTCTCCGAGGGGCCGTAGACGTCGCCGAGGGGCGTGTACCGATCGCGCATCACTTTCCGTACTGCGCCGACGGACGGCCCATGCGAGTAGACGAGCGCGTTCACGTAGTAGGAGGCCGGGAAGCCACTGGGCCAAACTAAAAATTGAGTTTTCAAATTTCAAATTTAGTGTATTTACAGAAATATCGGGTCAATTCAAGCTCAATTAAATTTTATTGGAGTAAATTTAAATCCCGAGAATTCCGCTTTAAAAACAGACCTGTATGTTTCAAGGCTGTGGCTCTTTCATGCGCCACGTGGCTGATCAGGATGCTGATGTTGCGATGGTTCCTTCTGAAGAAGTAATTTGTTTCTTTCTCTCTTTCGCTCTCTCCCTCTCTCGCGATCTCTCTCGCTCCCTCTCGCTCACTCACTCTCTCTCCCGCTCTCTCTCACTCACTCTCTTGCTCGCTCTCTCGTTCTCGCTCTTTCTCACCTTATTAACTCCATAATGTCCCCGGGTAGCAACCCGTTCTCCCGAAAATCGTCTCGCACCGGTGTCGCCAAAGTAAAGCCCATCCGCAGAATTTCGAACATCAACTGAAAATATGGATCTAATTAATTTTCATGTTTTAAAAGCCTACTCGTTCGGGTGAGTCCCAGAGGAAGTCCCACTTCACCAGCCAGAGATTGGAGCGGTAGCAGGTCGGGGATTTCTGAAATGAGCTGAGGTTTAGAGAACGAAAGAAAGAGAAAGAGCGAGCGAAATAGAGAAAGAGAGAAAAAGAAAGAGAGAGAGCGAGAGAGAGAGAGAAACAATCATCAATAAAAGAATCGATGAACTTGCCATTTTCATACATCCTTTGACGATTTTCGGATCCGAATGGGTGCAATTACAGTGAGCGATAATTTTCTCGGAATTCCCTTTCTATAAAATTAACTAAATCTTAAAGATCTCTGTAAAAGCTACCGTAAAATTTGAGCGAACGGCCCAGTTGGTCAGCGACGTACCGGAGAACATCATCACCCCGGAGATCAGGCCTAGAATTTTCATTTTTGAGTTTTTCGAGTTTAGGGAAGTGTCCAAGAAAATGTACCATTAACAATAAAGAAGAATATTGCTATTTTTGCTAATATTATACAGGCCTCCGCCGGTCATACTCACCCTTTGATCTCGGGCTAGCTGCCGCTAGTCCGGCCAGACTTCCGCCCACACTCTCCCCTCCGATCGTGATCCGCTCCGGGTCGCCGCCAAAGTGTTTTGCGTTTCGCTAAAAAAACAGTCTAAGCCGAGCCAAGTCTCAGCATACCTTGACGAATTCCAGGCCAAAAATGACGTCTTCGAGGCCGTAGTTGCCAGCAATTTCCGGGTCATGACTGGAGAGGAAGCCTGAAAAAAGACGTTGGGGAGAGCTCTAGGTCTCAGCATCAGTTGATAGGCTTAGGCATAAGTTAAGCCTAAGCCTAAGCCTAAGCCTAGGCCTAAGCCTTAGCGCAAGCTTAACGGGGCTCGTTCTGGTCACTTTCTGTTTCTCTCTCTATCTCTCGCTGTCTCTCTCTCACTCTCGCACTACCTCCAGATACTTCAAGGTTTCCCTGAGACTGTTCTGCGCGAGTCTTGATCAAAATCACGGTATCATTTTGGGGATTGTTGACCAATTTCCCAGGTCCCACGATCGAAAAGTTGAAAACACGTACCGTCGAACCCAAGGCGATAGTCGACGGCCACAAAAATAGTCTTCTTTGCCGAAAAGTGGGGGAGGATCCCAGCCGCACCGTAGGCGAATTTGCCACCTTTCTGCAAAATATTTTGATTTTGGGGTAGAGGGAGATTTAGATGAGATCGGGGCGAACTTTGGCTTCCGCCCTTGTACTGTTACTCCTCAGCACGAGAGAGGGGAGAGAGTGAGAGAGAGAGAGGGCGCGAGCCAGAGGGAGATAGAGAGAGGGAACGGGAGAGAGAGGGGGAGTGAGAGAGCCAGAGCGAGATAGAGAGAGAGCGAGAGAGAGAGAGAGGGGGAGCTAAAAAGAGGTAGATGGCCAGAATGAGTAAGAAAGAGAAAATGATCAAGAACAAGAGCTCCGCAGTACAATGAATCCCCCCCCCAAGAAAAACCCTGTTTTCCACGCGTGTACTATCCACCCCTCGTGCTCCCCGGGGGATCTCAGGCCGGCAAGATGATGTGATGTCTGTTATTTACAGGAGGCGAGATCAGGAGAACCAAGAAAAATATGATTCCCAGTTAAGTATAAATAAATGGGTGGGGATGGGGAGTTGGCAGCGAATTGTCGATTTACTTGGAGTTTACCACCTCATTTTCGGTACTGTAGTAAACTTTGAATTTTATATTTAATAAAACGGTTTTTTTCCGCATATAAAACTAATGAAAACGTTTCCAGAAAATCACCATGTCCGTCGCCACCAAGTTGATCACCCTCTTCGTCGTCCTCTTCAACTTGGACGTGGCTATGGGTAAGTTTTTAAGGTGCTTTGAAATTTTGTAGATTTTTTACCTCCGGAAAATACTAGTCTAATTGCTCTAGAAAACGTTTAATCAATGTCAATCCAACTGTTTTCCAGGCGGCATCCTCCTGAAGGGAATGGCTGCGGGAGCGGCACTCGGTCTCGGCGGCGCCCTCGCCTACAAGGCGGCCCATGGAAAATAAGTACAAAAGATGCACACATCGACTATGACAAATTATGCTACATTGGCAGAATAAATTTTATTGCCTTTATATTGCAAAGTTGGCACGAGAAACTACAAACTACAAAACACACTACAAACACTAACGAGTCAATTTCTACATGGTGTCCCAAAAAAAGCCGCCCCTCGGCATTTGGCCCTCTCCAAGCGGATCGGGGCTGAATTTCTACCAGCGATGAGCACCAATAAAAACTAAGTGCAGCCAAATTTTCTAAAACAAAAAGTTATGTCAGAATTAAAGTTTATTTTGCCGATTTCACTAGGGTTTAGACGGATTCCGACCTCGAAATGTTGGCATCGAAATGTCATGAAGAAGGCACTTTTCTCACTACAAGAATTTTTTTGCGAAATTTACGTCTAAATTCGGATCTTTTATTACTTTTTATTAACAAAATTGGCCGAGACCGACCCGAAAATGGCTTGCCGAATTACTCAAAATCGCTCAAAATGCTAATTACGAAAGCATAGCCAAAAATGAGTGCCAGCGCTTCCAAAATTTTTTCTTGCGACGCCTTGTATGCGAAGACAAGAGTTGCTGCTATGTCGTTATATAGTAGAGTGGCGCTTATTCAAATCAGATTTGAATAAGATTCAAATTATTCAAATCAAGCCGATTTGATTTGAATTGGAGCCGATCAAATCAAATCAAATCGATTTGATTTGAGTTCCACCAGTTCAAATCAAATCCAGCCGATTTGAATAATTTGAATAAGATCTCATCGAAATGAACCCAACGCAACTCGTAATTCGTGCACCGCTCTTTCCCTATAATCTCTTAGCATTGTTCCAGCGTCAGAGTTAACGATTCCTTATACATTTCCTATTGTTTTTACGCTTTAGCTTTTGCAAAGAAAAACCATAGCGCAGGCTAAATTTGACAAATAAAACCGTCTGGCTCAATTTTATATAAAGGTTATCGAAACACCCATGAATTATTGTAAAGGAACCTAAATGTGCAGAAACGGCGAGACCAAAAACCTTCGAACTGGCGATTTTCAATTTGCATCCCAGATAAGCCTGTTGTTCAAATCCCAAATCAAATCGATTTGATTTGAGGTGGCCAGCCCCTAATTCAAATCAAATCGATTTGATTTGAAGTTGATTTTTTAGCACTCAAATTTGCCAATTCAAATCAAATCAATTTGAAGCCGATTTGATTTGAATAAGCGCCACTCTATTATATAGCTACTTCGATAATTTACTTTAGATTAGTAAGGCAGGCACATGGGTTGCGCCGGTTATAGATTTCCCAGGAATCTTGTCCCCTCGTCAACCCGAAGAGATAAAGCTGCCCTTAAAAAGCGACCCGGCTTTCTCATGCTCAACGACCTAGGAATCACTTTAATGGCGGGCCCAACGACCTGAAGCTCTGAAGCTAACGCCTTTTGGAGAGGAGACGCTTTAGCGGAAATGACAACCCGAAACCTTACACCGTGCGCAAGCCGTTTCCAGCCCGACTTGTTGTTGAAAATAGACTGTACCGGTCTTTCTCCTCATCAACAAAACTGATCACGACGGCCAGACGGAGCACCAGTCCCGAACGGATCACCTGGGGTATCCCAAACTCAGGCAGAGAGAGAGAGCAAGAGAGAGAGAGAGAGAGAGAGAGAGAGAGAGAGACGGAGAAAGAAGGGGATACTGTTTTCCTCCGGCTTGTTTTGCACTTTTGCCGTTGAAAAAGTTGGAAAGTCGACGGAATTGTTGTTTTCTGGGTAGGGTATGCGACGATCGTTATCTGACAAAAGGGTCGAGGTGGAGAAGATGCAAGAAAACAACCCCACCCCCGGGTTGACTATAAAATGACCGGCGGTATTGGGGGTAAATCAGATCCTATTTTGCCAACTTCGGCTTAGGAATGGGCTTAGGCTTATGCTTAGACTTATAGGCTTAAGCCTAAGCTTAGGCATAGGCTTAGGATTAGGCTTGGGCTTCTAATCTCATCTTCCAAGCATTTTTTCCGGGTTACTGTAACTAATTTAACTTTTTATTTTCTTTGCCCCTAAATCTACTCTATCGCCGACTGTAAGCGGCACAAAAATATGTCATTTCACGCGTTTAAGCTCCTTAAAAATTAGTTTATAACTTTTTCTCGAAATTAAAAAAAAGGAAATGAGTTATTGTCTTAAGAAACCACTTTAAGTCTACATGCCTTGAAAAGTTTTTCATCGATTACCTAGCTAATTTCTTTTTCAATTTTACGCTGGTATTCCTTCTCGTCTTCAATTTTAGAAACTACGTAAAATGCAATGCAAATTTCTAGAAACAACATGTCCGTCTACACCCAGCTGATTGCCCTCTTCGTCCTCCTCATCAACCTCGACATCGCTATGGGTGAGTTTTTGAGATTGTAAGAGACTGAAAGAGTTAGAGAGAAAGAGAGATAGCGAGAGAGAGAGCGAGAGAGAAAGAGATGAAGAGAGATCGAGAAATCGCGAGAAATAGATGTTTTCAAGTCCGTTTTAATGTCGAATTTTCAGGAGGCAGCATTCTGAAGGGAGCTGCTGCTGGAGCTGCCTTGGGAGCCGGAGCAGGACTTGCCTCCAAGGCTTTCGGATAAGGAGCTGACTTTTGGATGGACGCAATATATTCAGAATTCCATTCTCGCTGCATAATAAACGCCTTTCAAAACCATTTCTGGCAAAATAAAAGAAAAAAGTGACGAAGAGGGAGAGAGAGTGTGTATGTGTGCGAGAGCTAGCGAGCGAGCGAGCGAGCGAGCGAGAGAGAGAGAGAGAGAGAGAGAGAGAGAGAGAGAGAGAGAGAGGAAACGTCCCCATTTCCACCCACCGTATAGGACATGCCGTGGACCCAGTAGACGATCGGCAACTTCTCCGCGTACCTCTGCGCATAATTCAATTAGGGGCCCGACCGGGGAAAGATTACGGTTTTGTTGTCGTTCAGCGGGATGACAATTTTGAGCAACAGACAATTTTCCGTCTCGTTGAGCATCAGCCGGGTGATTGGCTGGAATTTGTTGTGGGGTCCAATAAGCACAAGGTTCGGGGTGGTTCTTTGATGCTTAGGTTTAGGCTTAGGCTTAGGTTCAGAATTAAGGCTTAGACTTAGGATTAGGCTTAGACGTAGGCTTGTGCTTAGGCTTGGGCTTAGGCTTAGGCTTAGGCTTAGGCTTAGGCTTAGGATTAGGCTTTGGCTTTGGCTTAGGTTCAGGCTTAGGCAAGGCTTAGGCTTCGCTTATGCTTAGTTTTAGGCTATCTGGTTCTATACTTAGGCATAGGTTAAGGCTCATGCTTAGACTCGGGCCTAGGCTTAGACGCAAGCTTAAGCATTGGCTTAGGCTTGGCTTAGGCTTACGCCTGCACTAGGCTTGGTTTCTGAAAATTGAAGCCACTAGGCTTTCAAAGGACCAACCGGTACGACATGATACTGTGGACAGATGACCTCGTAGTCCGTTACAATTGGGAAATCCCAAGATTTCGGTGGCTGAGGGCTCTTAAAACGAGTTTTTTTTTCAATTTTATCGAAGACCCACCTCGAATCTCAAGTTTCCGGTGGGCTCCGCGGCATACGGTACTGAGTTGTAGAATTCCGCTGCAATACCGCCCATCTAAATTCAGTTGGCATAATCAAGTTGTGTCTCACCTCAACGATTTTCCCCTCAATCGGTCCATATTCTGTCTGGGCAACGATCGGTGTAGATGATGCAATTTTAAAGGTGCCGAGAAGGCAGAGTGAGATCAGGGTATACATTCAGAAACTGGCAGTTGCTGCTTTAGGCTCCTACAGTCTGGTGCGCCTAAAAAGAGGGGAAAGTCTCGGGTGTAGAGAGGGAGCGGAGCGGAACTGACTTGAGCCCGACTTATGGGTGTTTTTTTTTAATACTAGCCTAACCGGGCTAGTAGTGGATATGTGCCAATGTTAATAACTTTTTAATAAACGAGTAAATGATGAGAGAGTGAGAGCGAGTGAGAGAGATATTTAAACCTAAGCACTTGCCTTACAAACCCACTTCCTATAGTCAATCCTTGGCAGCACGAAATGGCGAACCCACCGCTGGCCGTGCCGAATTTTAAAGTGCCTTGGCCGAACCGATTAAACCCATTAGCCGGCGGAGGAGTTGAACCGGGGCGGCGGGTGGGTTCAAGAAAGGAGAAAAATCGTGGGGGTATCGTGGGAACGTGAACCCAGAGAAAGTACGAGCGGATCCCCCGGGTCAGCGTTTCCGCATCTTGCCACTGACCTGATGCAGAGAGAGAGCGAGAGAGAGCGAGAGGGAGAGAGATAGACACAACCAGACACGATCCGTTCGAATTGTCACCTAGCTGCTCCGGGTGATGACGACGCGGGAACGAAAGCTCAACATGTGCAAGCCATGCTTTTCCGGGGCTGATCGTCTTATCCCGGGCTATAACCCGCTCAGACACAGTTTCGTAAGCCAGGGTCTAAGCCTAAGCCTAAGACTAAGCCCAAGCCCAAGCGCAAGTCTATGCCTAGAGCTTAGGCCTGGCCTAAGCATATGCCAAAGCCTAAACCTAAGCCGGTTTTTTTTTGCTTCATCAATGCCCCTTTCTTTTTCCCCTGCTCTCCGATTTTACTACCAGTTTCCGGTGGATTTTTGCTCCCCTCGCGGAGCCATAAATCCCAACCGAATCTCGTTACCCAAGGATTGGTAGGAGAAGAATCGGTTTTTGAGCTTCTCCCAATCTTCCCCGATTATACGGCGGTTTAAACAACCTTTTTTGCAATGGAGTGATAGCTGTAATTAAGCGAAGTTTGGCAATTACCTACATTCCTATTTCAAAGATCGCTCACCGCGCTAAAATAGGGCACTTACAATTAGATTTGAAGTTTTGGGTCACAACTCGAGTTACATTGTGCTAATTTGTGCCCATTTCTCTGGCTGGGTGATTTATCGGGGAGCGTCGCTACGAAAAATGGCGAGAGAAATCGGCCGGGGCCTTTGGCAGTGAAAGATGATTTTATCAAAACCGTTTCTATTTATCTGTTGGGAAAAATGCCCGAAAAATACAGGTTGTTTCATAACTTAAAAATTTCGGCTTGGTATCTGGCTGCCATTTTTCAGGCCTCGATTATCTTGTCAGACGTTATTACCTCAAATTCCAGTGTTTTAAGATTTTCCTCGACTATTTGGTGTCTCTAAAGTGTTTTATGCTTAGATTTTGTTTTTTAATAGTGAGATTCCTAGAAAGAGGCTCAAACTTCTTTCTATTAGCCTTTTTCAGATCACGACCCGATTTCCCGACGTCATTGCCTCGAATTTAGCTTTTTCTTATTTTTCTGTCGTAATGTCTTTCCGAAGGCATAAGTAAGTAAACTTCAACTTTTTTGAAAATCCGTGCCAATTTTCAAAAAAAAACCAGGTCAAGAACGTTTGGAAGACCTCCGCCGGCAAGCTCGCTCTGTGCCCTCGAAACGCGCGCCGGCTGGCCCACCGTCGGGGTGGGGTGTATAAAAAGGAACGGGACCTTTTCCATGTTTCTGACGATGATATGGCGCTTGACGCCCAACGCTTGGAATGAAATGACCATGTTTAACTTTTCTGCAATGAGTCACGCTTTTTGCGTCTAACTTTTTGTATTTTAGACCTTTACTGATTTTTTGGGATCTATAGAGTTTTTGGAGTTTTATTTTTCTGTTTGCTCCGTAGAAATTCTATTGAATTTTTATTTTGTAGTTTTAAGCTTGTGTTTATATATCTAAAAGCTTAATGATGTTCTCAATCAAATATTTTCTAATGCAATGGTTTGGTCTGGAGCCAATTTCAATTCCTTATCAACACCATCGGGCCAGGCCGTCGAGCTCATCTGCTCCCCCGCCAAAAGGACGCGCCAACTCGAATTAGCCGTAATGGGTTCAGGTCAGCTGTTTACCTCATCCAATTTGATCGGCCTTGGTTTGGCGATAGTCCCCTTTGGTCCCGAGCTAGAGCGTTTGCTCTATTTTGCCTTTTCCCCTTTCTTCCCATTCCGGAAAATGAACCGGGTTCTGTTGCCGAACAACCGGAGACGACGGCCTTTTGAAAATGGCCCCATAAAAAATTCATAAACTCGAACTTTTTTTGCGCACACTTCCATCATTTTAGGTTAGGCAAAAAAGTATTGTTTCCAGATTAGTAACCTCCAAAAAGATAAGAGATAAAAGAAAAATATATCTTTTTGGAGCTTCAGCTATATGGTAATTTGAAATCAATACGAATCTGGGGTTAGATGTAAAAAAATCTAAAAATTAGGGCGGTCTAACCCAAAAAAAATGGACAAAAACGCTTCAAAAACACAAAACAGCACAATAATTGGCATACGTAATGAGAAGGTGCACAAAGATCGTACCTGGCCATTTGAAAAATAGATTTGGCATGCAGAGTCCTTGAAGATGCCGGCCATAAAATATGCAGACAAAGCTTGACGGTCCAAAAACGTTGTGCTTTTGTTTATGGAAGGAAGACAAACATTTTTGACGTTTAAAAGTCTCACGTACCTCTCCTCTCTCCATCTTTGTTTCTCTCACTGGCTCTCCCTCTCTCTTTCTTTCTCTTTCTCTCTCTCTCTCGCTCTCTCTTTCTCTTTCTCCCTAACGGTCAGAGATCAAAAATCACCCCCGCCGGACCTGGATTCATTTTTTTCATTCTGGCAAGGAGCAAAAACTCTCAAAAACGTATGATATCTTTGCGATTAACAATTTCATTTTCATAGCCTTTGATTCAACTCCATTTTTAGGTGTCTATACACAGAATATCACACAAAAATTTATACATCGCCAGCAGCGAGACCCGACCTCAACACTGATGCCCAACACATGCAAAGCTCACAAAAATACATCGCGTAAGCTCTCATTTTTTTCCGCGCGTCATGATCGACACAATCAGCAAAAAGACGTAGCCGAACTCGATGAAAGTGACGATAGAAATCCCGCACAAAACGCCCAAGATGCCACCCAGATAGCCGAGGAACGCATTGAACTAAAAGTCCATTTGTAGCTATAAAGATCAATAAATTACGCTTTACTTTACTACACTAAAAAAACCCACACTCATCTCCGGCTCTTCCCGGTAGATTAGTTGCGTAAGCGATTGGAAGTTAACCTAAGAAAGAAAAAAAAATTAGTAGGGGATTTTTGAAACCGGTCTACCTCAATTTTCACGGAATCCCGGTACGCGTCTTCACACGCAGTGACGTTAGCCGACATAGTGCATTCTTGGATCTGAAAACAAAAAGATGACTTAGGACATTAGCTTCCTTTCCAACACAGTTTTCAAAAAAATGGGGATCTTTTTCTCTTAAACTTTTGCTAATTCTGATGCTTAGGCTTACCACAACCGGAAACGGAGCCAGCGACCAGGCGATCTCAAACTGCGAGTATTCGCAGGGTTGCGGGCAGTTGCAGCCTAGAAAATTTGAATTTACAGGGGTTTTTAGTGATCATCTACCGGGTAATGAAGCAGGATCATCGCCGTACTTGATGGTAAATTGGTTCAAGCAGCTGCCTGAATACAGATTTTGAAATTTCGCTCAAAATTACGCTGCGGGATGTCACAGCTAGGCTTTGATGACGGAAACGGGTATCTCGGGTCCATGCATTTGCACATGGCGTAGAGTAGATCTTGATAGCAGGAGCGGTAGCAGCCCTAGACAGGGTTTAGGCTTATAGGCATGTTAGGCTTGGTTTAGGTTAAAACTTAGGTTTGATCTCGTTTTGAAAGTCTCGCTTTTAATTTCCAAAAACTCACATCAATTGTGTAAATTCCCTCGTAGTAATAGGACTTCACGTCAGCAACCGTCTTTGCACATGCACCGTAGCGGCCGCCAAGTCGATGATAATCTGTCTGAAATCGGCAATAAGTATTTCTCTGTCAAAGATCTCTGTCTCTCTCTCTCTCTTCTCTCTCTCTCTCTCTCTCTCCCTTCTCTGCCTCTCTCTTACCTGACGAACAAAAAATTTCGTGAACCCGCCAGCCTTGGCCTGGGTCCGTGACGACTCCGCGAAGACGGCTTCTCCATTTTTATGCACGAACACTGAAATTTTTAAAGTTAAATTTTACATTTTTAAAGTTAGTTTTCAGCCCTAGCAGATTACATTTACCTGTAATCGCAGCTGTATCGACCCAATACGGATATTCTTCCTCGTGGACGCGTAGTTGTAAGAAGAGGCCTAGAAAAAACCTTGCGTATGCTTAGGCTTGGGAGGTTTAGGCTTAGGCTTAGATTTAGGATTAGGCATTGTCTTAGTTTTCGGCTTGGGCCTTTGTTTAGGCATTGGCTTAGGTAGCTTAGGCTGAGGCTGAGGCTTGGGCTTAGGCTTAGGCTTAGGTTTAGGCTTCCTCACCTCCATTTCTTCCCGAATTCCGCGACAAAAATTGGGTGGAACTGTTAGGGTGGTTGAAGGTGAAGCAATTTCCCAGGACGACATCGTTCCATTCCTTGAATTGGTTCCTGAAGTGAAAATTTATTATTTATGAACATTTCCTCAGGCATCGGCTTAAACTCAAGCGTTAGTTTTAGCTCGAAAACCCTTACTCAAAGACGATGCTCCTTCGCTCATACGCAGCATCCATAAAAATGTCGTCATAATTCCAGGAAAGAGCGGCGCGAACATCCTCTGCCATTGGCCCCGTAATAAATGGGATCAGGTCCTGGAGTTTTGGCGGGTGGGACTGGAGGTCTTCTCGAACCTAGAAAATATAGATTTTTCAGGTTCAGAACTGGTTCTTTCAAAAAGGCGTTTCTAACTCCAAAACATACTGTCTGCATCTCTTCCGGTGTCAAGTCACCATAGAGTTGGCCGAGCATTACACCGAGGTTGGCGGCTAGAAAAAAAATATAAAAATTAAGAAGTGAGAACGATTGAATACCCATATCACAGTACTGTCCAGTGAAGTTAGAGGTACACTGACAGGTGAAGCCGGAGCCATCGGAATTGTCTGGAATTTAGCGTGGTGGATTGTCGCATCGTAGACTTTCTTAATTCGTTCTCTCTCATTCTCTTCCTCGCTTTCTCTTTCGCGCTCTCTCCCTATCACTCGCTCTCTATTTCGCTCTCTCTCTCTCACACTCCCTCCCTCTCTCTCTCGTCGTCTCTCTCCCCCTCAACTTACCCACACAAGCTCCGCCACTGTCCATCACTTTGCACACTTCGCCATGGTACACTTTTCCACCGTACGTCACTTCGGCGCACACGCATGGTAGACCGACTAAAACAGCTTCTATCGAAAAGTCCTGAAGACCTTATGCTCCCTCAAAAATTCCGAAAAACACCAAAACCAACCACAAGCCGTCGTTCCGGGTTCGGTCGAAGCTGCAGTAGTCGCAGCAATAGTCGTCCCTAAAACTTCTATGCTAATTTTTCGCTCACAGCTCATACCTGTCGTTGTAGCGTTAGTAGTGGCTTCCGTAGTTATCATCTCTGTAGTGGTCGTAGCCAGGGTTGTCGTCTCGGTATCGAGAGCTGAAAATCACGGGATTTTTTCAAATCACTAACTTGTCAAACCTGTACAATTTGATCCGGTGAACCCGGGAGCACAGGTACACAGCCAGGAGCCCCAGACGGAATCGCAGGAGCCACCGTTCTGGCAGGGAGCCTCCATTGCGCAAATGTCGTATTCTGAAATGAGCTACTCTTGGGCGTAGGCTTAGGCGTAGGTTAGGCTTCGGCTTCGGCTTAGGCTTAGGCTTCACTTTAGCCCTAGGCTTAAGCTTCGGCTTAGGCTCAGCTGACCCTTGTCACAATAGTCGCCGATGAAGCCGGACAAGCAGTAGCAGGTGGACATCACGCTGAGCACTTCCTTCGACGTCGAGTTATACGACGTTCCAACTAAAAAAGGCTTAGATTGGCTTCGGCTTAGGCTGAGGCTTAGCTTGGTAAAGCTTAAGCTTAGGCTTAAACTTAGGCTTTGGCTTTAGACATATGCTTTTCCTAGGGTTAGGCTGAGGTGTAGTCTTTGGCTCAGGCTTAGACCGAGGCGTATGCTTAGGTTTTAGGTTTAGATTTAGGGCCGGGGCTTAGGCTTAGGCTTTGGCTGAAGTTGCTTGGGATCGATACTTACTACTGCAGCTGCCGTACATGCACGTCGATCGGTCGCACCATAGGCCGGTGTCCGGTTCTGAAGCGGAAATCATATGGAAGAAGTATGACTACTTACGCGAACAGTACTGATTTGACATTGCCGGGTATGCGCCGGCCACACATTTGCAGAAGTAATACGAAGAGGCCGTCGCGTTCACGCAAATCCCGGCGACGCACGGGTCCGGGGTACAGTAATCTTGGTACCATATGTTTAGGCCTGCGGCATCAAAAACGTACCGGTTTGTGAATCACCCACGTAGAGGCTGCAATCCGTACCCTCGTAGCCGTAAGGACATGCGCATTGATAGCCATACCCGTAGCTCAGACAGCTAGCGTACGGTGAGCATGGATTACTGGCGCAGGCGTCGATTTCTGAAGCGGTTTGGGGTTAATGGTATGGTATGGTAGGGTCGGCTACAAGAACTTACGAGAGGAGCAAAGCCCCTAGTTCTTAATTCTTTTACAGGGCTGCTCTGGCTCAGGCTTAGCCCTAGGCTTAGGCTTAGGCCTAAGAATAGGCTTTGGCTTATGCTTAGGCTTGGGCTTGAGCTTACCCTTAGACCTGTACTTAAGCCTTTTTTGGCCCACAAAAAATTCCCACCCTTATCACAAGCATCTCCCTCCCAGCCTGAGTAGCACGAGCAGCTCGTGTTCACGTAGAGGACCGCACCGGTCCCGTCAGTCCAGATGCTCGCCCAGCAATTCCCATTGTGGCAATTTGGCGGGTTTATGTAGCAGTCACGGGGGTCTAAACAGCTTCTGATTGTCAGACTACATCAAAATGACCTACTCTCGCAATATGTTCCGAAAAACCCGTCGGCGCAGCTACATAGGAACGTGCCGTAGCCGTTGGTACACGTGCCACCGTAGTAGCATGGGTTCGACGCACAGTAGTCGACTGAAGAGACGGGCGAGACGGTGGTGACCAGGATAGCCTGAATCGAAAGTTACGTCCGGACCAGGGTCAGGCTCGGCTTGCGCTCGCTTAGGCTTGGGTTTTTCGCCTAGGTTAAGCTTGAATTTCGGCTTAGATAGGCTTAGATATAGGCCTGGGCTTAAGCCTCGGCTCAGGCTTAGGCTCAGGCTCAGGGCTAGGATTTTTGACCAGAACTTCGACTTTTAAAGGGTTTAGATAGTTTTTCTAGCTGAAATCTAGTTACTGATTACTAAAAACTCTATTAAAGGACTTTTTGTTGTTATTTGGCGTTTCTAAACTTATACGAAAAGTTCGCCCTCCTTCCCCGACCTTTTCCACTACCGTAATTAACATAAAAAACGTAATGAATGCTCTTAAAGGCATGGCGACAGTAGACCGGCAAAGGGTTAACGTTAACAGCTCTCTCACCCTAACTCACCAAAAGACAGCCTATTCGCAGGAGCATCCAGCTGAAAAGTGGAAATGAGAATGGCCGGGGGCCGGGGCTCGGTGCACCCGTTCTTGGAAAAAGGACAGCCGTATTTTAAAATGCGCCCTCCAGCGGAGTTTTCCTCTCTGGCGTCACGCTACAGTACCCCGCGTCGCTATGATACCCCCCCTTGGGGCTCGGCCCTAAACATTGGACTCGGCAATGAGAGCAGAAACCGGCCGCGGTTCCATTTTGGGGCAACGATTGTTGTGCGTTGCAAGGGGGGGGGAAAGGTTTCGGCCGAAGAACACGAACATATTAGGTTGGAACTAAAGTTCGCGCAATATTTTTCTTTCTTTGTAATTTTCGGACCGGAAAACGGGCAAGCACCAAAATGTTTTTGGATGAACGGATATGCAATAAAATTCTCTATTGGATGCGTGGGACGGAATCGTGTTGCTTGCTTATTAGAATTTTTTAAAGCTAGATTTAAGCGAAAATGAAAAATCGCTTCGGCCCGCCTTTACAAAACAAATTTGGCTTCCTTTTTTAGGCTAATTCGGCATGCAGCCAGTAGATACAACTTATTATTATAGTGACGATCAGTTTCTATGGTGACTTTATGGCGGTTCGGAAAGATGTCCGGGTCAAAAATTTGAAGTGCCCTCGAGAGAAACGCAAAAATCTTCAAAGCTACTGGGGCTAAAAACCTGTAATTTTGGTCCCACATACTCATGAACCTAATAGATAAATGCAAAGAGGGAACATCGGAATCTGGCCACTAAATTTTCGGAAAGAAATTTCCAAAGTTCGATTGCGCGAACTTATGTTCCAACCTAATAACTTCAAAAAATCTAATTTTGCGGTTAAAAAATTACAGTAAACCCAATAGAATATTCAATTTGTTTCGTGACTTAAATTAGGGTTAAAAAGGTCCAATTAGTCTTAAAAAAGCTTCTTTTTTTGTCGAAAAAGGACAGCTTTTGAAAATCCTAAAAAAATTTGAATAATTTTTTCTCAATAAATGCCCAGTTCTTAAGTTAAGTGATACTAAAAAATGGTTTAGAAAAATTCCTCTATTTATCTAACGAAAATCCGGTACTGAAAAAACGTCCAATTTTTAGTCTGCAATTTTTAATTTGATTTGCTTTGTACAAAATTTAAAATTTTGGGTTTAGGAGGCCTTTATCGTAAGCAATGTGTTTAAATAAATGATGGGTCTTTTTTATAATCTTTATCAAATGACCAGCACAGCACCAAAATAAGCCCAAAAATGAGGTACACCATGCGGATTTTGGTTTCGGAAAATTCATTCATTTTTTTCCTTTTGTGAGGATGGAAATTATGATTAGAGCGATGTAGCCGAATTCAATAAAAGTGACGATCGAGATGCCGCACAGAATCCCGAGAATACCGCCAAGGTAGCCGAGGAACGCGTTGAGCTGAAAATGGCGGAGATTTTTGATTATTTCGCATTAACGGCTGGACCTGGAGACAAATCCAGAAATTCCGAATAACGTCATACTTGGTGCCTTAATAGCGTTTTTAGTATAATTTAAGTATCTTAAGTATAGAAAAACTATCTACAAAAAATTTCCACATTTTGAAGTTTTGGCTACAAAAGGGGTCATATTTGGTCGAAACATCGATATTTTCGTGTGTTTTGTCATCGAAAGTTGATAAAGCTTTTGCGCTTAGGAATCGCAAAAATTACTTAAAAAGACTTCCGCTTATTATATTAGCAAAATGGGATCCTAAGAAATGAGGTGCACTCCCCCTGCCCCCGTTAATGCGGAAGTACCAGGTTTAAAAAAATTTCCTACGACGACCCGATAGACTTATTTGAGGCTACGTCTGTAACTTGCCAAAAACCATTAGTTTCTCAATTTCGCAAGTAGAATAGCGACTCACCGACATTTCCGGTTCTTCCTGGTAGATGAGCCGGGTGAGGGATTGAAAATTGACCTGAAACGGGAGTTTGAAAGCTTTAAATTTAGACCTCAATCTTGACCGAGTCCAAATATGCAGCCTGGCAGGCCGAGACGTTTGACGAGAGTTGGCACTCGTATAACTGAAAGAAAGTAAGTTGAGAGAGATAGGGGGAGAGAGACGCAGACAGAGAGAGTGCGAGAGAGCGAGAGGGAGAGAGAGTTAGAGTGAATCAGAAAGAGAGAGAAACTCACTCACCACTGCCGGATACGGTGCTATTGACCAGGCCGTGTCAAACTGGGAATACTCGCATGGTTGAGGGCAGTTACAACCTAATTTTTTTTGTTAAATTTGGAACTTTTGACCGAAACCTGGTAACGAAGCCGGATCATCACCATACTTTGCCGTAAAGTCGTTGAGACAACTGCCTAGATCTCGAAAATGACATAATTTGCATGACACCTACGTTGCGGGATGTCACAGCTTGGTTTTGAGGCTGGGAATGGGTAGCGTGGATCCATGCAGTTACAAAGTGCAAATAGGAGATCCTGGTAACAAGAGCGGTAGCAGCCCTGGAAAGTTTACCTCTACCGTTGTCTCTCTCTCGCTTTCGTTTTCGCTCTCTCGCTCTCTCTCTCTCTCTCTCTCTCTTTATTTCCCTCTAAAACCCACATCAATCGTGTAGATCCCCTCATAATAATAGGATTTGACGTCCGAAACCGACTTTGCGCAACTCCCATAATGCCCGCCCAGCCTACTGTAGTCGGTCTGAAAGCACAAATTTAATGAGTTATTCAGATCTTTGGCATTGAATTAATGTATTTCACTTGCTAACCTGTCCTATAAACAGCTTGCTGAAGGCCCCAGCCACAGCCTCGGTGCGCGACGATTCGGAGAAGACGGCCTCGCCGATTTTGTGAACAAATACTAGAAAGACGAAGTTAAGCGTCTAAGACGAAGGTTAAGCCCAAGCACATGCCTAAGCTTAAGCCTAACCTAAGCCTAAGCCTAAGCTTATGCCAACCCACCTGTAATCCCGGCCGTGTCGACCCAGTAAGGGTATTCCGCTTCTTGGACGCGAAGCTGTACGAAGAGACCAAAAATTGATAGAGTAGCAAAGTTTTTCTCTGACTAGCTCCCCCTCACTCTCTCTCTCTCTCTCTCTCTTTCTCGCTCTCTCTCTTCCCTTTCTCTTTCTCTCACCTCCATTCCTTCCCGAGTTTCGCAGCAAAAACTGTGTCGTGCTATTGGGGTGATTGAAAGTGAAGCAATTTCCCAGCACCACGTCGTTCGTTTGGATGAATTCGCTACTGAAAATGCATGTGGAGATTGTTGGCGTAGTTCTTGGGCTTAGACTTGGACTTATGCTTGTGCTCAAGCTTGGACAACATCTCAAAAATCCTTACTCAAAATCGATGCCCTTCCTCTCGAACGCCGTGTCGAGGAAGAAATCGCTGTAGGCCCAAGATAAAGCTGCTCTAACATCCTCTGCCATTGGCCCGGTAATGAATGGGATCAGGTCTTGCAGCTTGGGCGGGTGGGACTGGAGGTCTTCTCGAATCTGGAAATGAGTCGCTTTTTGAGCTCAGCCTTTCATTGCCCCTTAAAGAATGGATTCCGGAAGACCGACTTCTTGCATCTCTTCGGGTGTTAGATTTCCGTAGAGCTGGGCCAGCATTACGCCGAGGTTTGCAGCTACAAAGTATTATAAAAATAAAGACGCTATGTACGATGGAATACCCATATCACAATACTGTCCTGTGAAGTTAGAGGTACACTGGCAGGTGAAGCCGGAACCATCCGGATTGTCTGGAATTATCGATGAGTTTCTGAACTCTTCTAATTTCTATCGCTCTTGCACGCCCTCTCGCTCTCTATCTCTCTCTCGGTCGTTCTCTCGATCTATCTCTCACACTCTCCGTCTCTCTTGATCGATCTCTCTCTCACTCGCCCCCTCTCTATCGCACTCTCTCCCGTTCTCTCTCCCTCTCTCCCCTTTCTATCTCTCTTTCTCTCTTTATCTCTCTCTCTTTCTCTCTCTCTCTCTCTCTCTCTCTCTCTCTCTCTCTCTCTCTCTCCCAGCTTACCAACACAAGCTGCCAACTTTCTGACTATTCTGGTTTCTCTTTCGCTTTCTTGCTCTTTCGCTCTCTGACGCTCACATCGCTAATCCTCAGCCTCTCTTTACCTAGCTCTCCTGTTCCCCCCCCCCTTTCTCCTAATTTCTTTTTTTTATTCTCCTGAGTTTCGCTTGTCTATCTAGCTCCTCTCTCTCCCTCTCTCTCACTCTCTCGCACTCACTCACGCTCTCTCACTCTCTATATATCTATCGCACGCTCTCTCTCTCATCTCTCACTCTGTCTCTGTCTTCCCTTCATTCGCCGATGTTCTTCCCATAAAATTTTCAAAAACCTTACCGACGCAGACGCCGCCAGAGTCCAGCACCTGGCATACATCACCATGGTAGACCTTGCCACCGTAGGACACGTTCGTGCACACGCACGGCGTTCCGACTATAAATATAGGTCTTGGAAAGGTTAATGTGACCGCAGGCGTTTGAAAAATAACGGGGAAATAGCGAAAATCTCGACAGGCCATATCCTTCCTCATAAAATTTTAGTTCCATATTCAGGCAGCAAAATCTGCACATCCAAAATAGCCGAGAAAAACTCGGATCGTTTCGGGATTATCGCTGTCCGGGTTATTGATTTTGGGGTTTTTGTGCATTCCCGGAATGGGAACTAACCGTAACCCGGATCGACAGTCGCCATTTCTGTCGTCGTCGTTCTCGCCCCGGCTGCTGCGGTGTTGGCTGTTGATGTCTCGGCCTCGATCGTGGTTTCAGTAGTCGTGGGAGTGTAGATATCTGTAAAAAGCGGGGTGACATGAGCACTTATCAATTTTTTGATTTACCTGTACAGTTCGATCCGGTCCATCCGGGGGCGCAAGTGCAAAGCCACGAGCCCCAGGTGTAGTCGCAGGAACCGCCGTTCTGGCAGGGCGCCTCGTTGGCGCAGATGTCGTATTCTGAACTATTAGAACTGGCTAGAGCCTGCCCATGCCCAAGCCTAAGCCCAAGCCTAAGCCTGAGCACAAGCCCACACCTAACCCTAAACCTAAACTACTATACTATACGGATTTATTTTCCGGCCCTCAAAAAGTTTATTTTACAACACCAATATGTTTATTTACCAAACATGTTTCACCAAGACCAAACCGGGAAGAAAAATGCCTTTCCCCCAAAGTCAACCGTTACCCCTCACCTCCAAACACATCGCAAAAATAACGGAAGAGTGTGCGAACTTATTTTACAATAGTAAAACGGTTATTTCCTGCCATCTTTTACGAAAGATGCTTCTCCAAGGTCAAATTGGGGAGAAAAAATGGGCCCTTTCCTCCACCGGGGAGGAAAGGGCCCATTTTTTCTCCCCAATTTGACCTTGGAGAAGCATCTTTCGTAAAAGATGGCAGGAAATAACCGTTTTACTATTGTAAAATAAGTTCGCACACTCTTCCGTTATTTTTGCGATGTGTTTGGAGGTGAGGGGTAACGGTTGACTTTGGGGGAAAGGCATTTTTCTTCCCGGTTTGGTCTTGGTGAAACATGTTTGGTAAATAAACATATTGGTGTTGTAAAATAAACTTTTTGAGGGCCGGAAAATAAATCCGTATAGTATAGTAGTACCTAAGTCTAATCTAAGCCTGAGCCTAAGCCTAAGTCTAAGCCTAAGCTTAAATCTAAGCCTAAGCCTAAGCCTAAGCCTAAGCCTAACCCAAAGCCTAAGCCTAAGCTTAGCCCAAGCCTAAGCCTAAGCCTAAGCCTAACCCGAAGCCTAAGCCTAAGCCTAAGCCTAAGCCTAAGCCTAAGTCTAAGCCTAAGCCTAAGCCTAAGCCTAAGCCTAACCCGAAGCCTAAGCCTGGGCCTGAGCAGGAGCTTAATCCTAAGCTTAAGCCTCAGCCTAAGCCTAAGCCTAAGCCATTCTTAAGCCTAAGCAGCTCACCCTGGTTGCAGACCTTCCCGACAAAGCCGGCGTAGCAGTAGCACTGCGTCGTCACGTTGGTGATCTCTTTCGTCGTCTCGTTGTATGTGGTGCTGACTTAACTTTTGGTACAACCGCTTTTTTCGTAAATTTACTCACTTCCACAGCTGCCATATACGCACAGCGTCGGATCGCAGTAGTAGCCGTAGTCGGGCTCTAGAAACTTGATTAGAATGTTGGAAAAGCCAAACGGCTGCAGTTCTGATTCGACATGGCTGGATACGTGGCATCGGGGACACATTTACAAGCCCAATTCTCAGTTGCGGTGGCGTTGACGCAAAAGCCGGCTACGCACGGGTCCGGGGAACAGTAGTCATTTTCTGAAGGCAGAGATTGATAGAGGGATGGGGCCGAATCACCTGGATCATCCACGTCCAATTCAAGCGAGCAATCCGAACCGCCCATACCCTCGGGGCACACGCAGGAAAAGTTGTAGCCAAAACTCATGCAGGTAGCATTGCCGTCGCACGGGTCATCGGCGCAGGCGTCGAGCTCTGGAAAGGGTTGGGTTTAGGCGTAGGTTAGGCGTAGATTTCTTAGCTTCCTCTTAGGCTTATGCTTAGACTTAGGTTCAACCTGGGTTTAGGCTTAGGCTTAGCTTCCACTTAGGCTTAGGCTCCGCTTACGTTGATCACAAAAGTCGCCCTCCCATCCGGCGTAGCACGAGCAGCTGGTGTTGATGTAGCTGACCGCCCCGCTCGAATCGGTCCACACCATCGCCCAGCAGTTCCCATTATGGCAATTCGGCGGGTCCGTGTAGCAGAGGCGAGCGTCTAAGGTATAAGATAAGTAACTTTCCTACAACTTACTTTCACACTGCCGCCCCCAGAAATCGTCCGTACACTGGCACAGAAAGGTACCGTAACCCTCGACGCAAGTCCCGCCGTAGTAGCAATAGCCACTTGCGCAAAAATCGGTGCTGGAGATAGTGGTGGCGGAGAAAAATAGCTAGAAATCCGGGGTTTGAGCGTAAAATGAAAAGGTGGATGGGGCATGCTCCTTTTCAATGGATTATAAAGTTTTCGAAGATTTTCTAATTCCTTCGCAGGATCCGTCTTAGCAAGTACATACATGATACTCCAAAGGCATAGACTTCGGCGGAGCATAGACTCTGGCATAGGCCTAGGCTTAGGTTTATGCTTAGGCTTGGGCTTACTTATGCTTGGAATTATGCCTAGGCTCAGGCTTAGAGTTGGGCTTAAGATTGAGCCTGGATTTAGGCTTAGGCTTAGACTAAAGCTTAGGTTAGGCTTAGACTTAGGCAGTACATGAAAAGAATACTTACAAGAAGCCAGGTGCTCGACCCGGCCAACCGCCAGCGCATCAATTCCGCGAATGAGCCGAGCCGGAACTGGGCACAGATCTCTGAGGGCAGCCTTCAGATATTCCACCCTCCAATGGAGTCCTGCCGGAAAGCTACAGTATCCCGTCGCGACCGGCTTTCCCCATCTTGGCTCTAAACATCGGAATTGGGAAGATGGCTCCATAAAGGCGCATGTCTCCTAACGAGGCCAAAAACTTTTCCTTCCGGCCAAAGACAAAGGGCATCTGGTATGCGCCCGGCTTTTTCGTGAGCTTTCGAGGGGCGCACGTTCAAAATAACAAGCTTCTGAGCCGGTCTGGGATGCTCTGAATTTCTTGTGCCATATTTCGGAGCCAAGCCCGCCAAGCTAAAACTTATGCGCATGGATATGCTTAAGCCCAATGTAAGTTCAGCCTAAGCCTAAGTCCGCGCATAAGCCAAAGCTTAATCCTAAGCCTTAGCCTAAGTCTCAAGCAAAGCCTATGGGTAAGCCTAAACCTAAGCTGAACCTAAGTCTACGTCTAAGCCTAAGCCTAGCAAGGGAAGATGTAATAAGCTGAACTAAGCCTACGCCTAAGCCAAGGTATAAGCCTTAGCCTGCCCAAGCCTAAGCCTAAGTCCGACCGAAGTCTCAACATGAGCCACGCTTTTTAAGCCGATATCTTCAGTCACAATCAATCCGTTTATTCGAGCCCTTGCCTCAGCGCCGGCTTTTCCTTCACTTCAACGCTACTCCTTTCAAAATCCTTCATCAACGAGTTGAAGGCGAAGATGCCGAGTAGTAAAGTGATTGACAGCAAAGATGTCAGTTGCGCCATCGTGAATAGGCTGCTCGCGTAGTAGAAGAACGCCGCGCCGATCGCCTAAAAACGGAAATTGATTGGGTTTTCTCGCGTTATACGAATTTGACTTTGAAAGGGATCGGAAAGCGCGGGAGTGGGCTCGATTCGCAATCGACAGCTACGCAGAACACCACATGACGACTTAGAAAAAGTTTTTCTCTGTCTCCTCTCTATCTGGGCTTTAAAATGATTTTACACGCGTCATTTGGTGCAAAACGCATTTGTCGAGACCTAGTTGACGTCAGGGGTCGATTCTCGGGGTTCCTAGCCCATCTAGGTGGCTAATAAAAATCTTCTATAGATTGTTCGAACTTTCATATGGCTGAACCCCGATCCCACTCGCGTAAGCCTAAGCGCACGCCTAAGCCTAAGCCTTGTAAGCCATCATTCACTTTTAAGGGGACATTAAAAGCAAAAAAAAAACGAAAATTTCAACAATAACATTGAGATTACATTTTCTTTGTCTTTTTTTCGTGATTTCCCGGCCCACCTGGTAAAATTTCGCAATCGAAAATGCGACGGCCGGATGGGTGGGTAACGCCCGAGCCGAGGCCACCATTCGACAATTATTTATTGACCCGTCCACCACCCCGCATAACCAGCCGATCAGGATCGCCACGTAGAAGCTGAACTTGAGTGTAAAAATGAAAGGTTATCGAGTTTTTGCCCTTAAAGAACAAAACGTACTTTGGGGTAAAGTAAGCCGAGCCGCTGGTGGGGTGAATCGGCGATTCCGGAGGTACAAAAAGAACGAGCAGCACCGCCGTGATGGAGAAAGTGATGCAGGAGACGGCGAATGCCGGCCAAAGACCGAAATCTCGAATCTTACGGCTTGCAACATTGACAAAGACGCCGACTGAAATGGATCATTTGGATTTAGGCAATTCCGGTCAAACTACCGACAGTTAAAATACCGACAACTAAAATAACGCTAATCATAATTCGGTGAGAAAAAATCCCGACAATTAAAATGCCGACATAAAAAATGCCGCTCTCGACCAGATCTCGACAATTAAAATCACGACAGTCAAAATCCCAAATCACAAAATCGCAAAAGCAAAAATCCCGACAGCCATCGACTCACACTGAATCCCGACAAAATTCCCGACAGCCAAAAGCCCGATATATAATTGAATGCCGCTTCCTTTGAGACAGCTATTTTGAATGTCGATATTTTGGCCGTCGGGATTTCGGCTGTCGGGATTTCGGTGGCATTCAAACTTTAGCAACCTACAAGCAAATTAAGTCGAAAGAAGCTTCAGGCTCCGAAATTGTGAAATGTTACCTTCTTCCAGACCTCCCGCTAAATTTCGAAAAGCTGGGATGAATTTTGAAGGAGCCAGACAATAGACGGAACATCCCGCCCAAGGCGGCTCGCCAAGAATTCTTAAATGACTCTTCTTGCTGAAAGACCGGTCTGCCATTTCTGAGCTGAATTATTGACGGGCGGCTTAACGTTGCTCTCGATTTCAAGGACTTAAAATAGGGGGCACGAATAATTTTAGGCCCAAACCAGGATTTAGCTGATGTCTCTTGCTCTCTCTCTCTCTCTCTCTCTCTCTCTCCCTCTCTCTCGCTCTCGAACCACTCGAAACTCACAGCAAATCTCCCCCACAGCTAGCCCGATCGTCGAGTAGGCGATTAGATTTGGGTACGGTGCAAACGCCGTGGTGAAGGCGATCGTAGTCGTGTAGACGGACAGCCAGAACGCCGTGAAGAAGCCGGTGAAGACGTGCAGGGGAATCATCTTCAACATCCCCGTTTGGCCTAGCGCCCAGCCGATGGTGGCTAAAGCTTGCTGAGGTTTAGGTTTAGGCTTCGGATTAGGCTTAGGCTTCGGCTTTCAAACTCACATAGTTGTTCAGCCACCGTTCGCGGCCCCGCCTTCCGCTTTGCGTAGATGGAGTCCTCGATTTTTCGGCTTGGCAGCAGAAAAGCGAGCACGATGCTCCAGCTGGCCACCGCCATGATCCCCAATATCAGCATCCGGATCTCGAATTCGGAGTAGTAGCGGTACTCCGATTTGATTTCGGTAATATTCTGGAATGGCTTATGTTGACCGAATTTTGCAAGCGTTAGCTTACGCCTAAGCAAAACCTAAGTCCAAGTCTACGCCTAAGCATAAGCCTAAGCCTAAGTCCAACCCTAGGATTAAGCCTGGCATCCTCCACACCCACCAAGCTTGAATATTGCTCCGGCGGGCGCTCATCCTTGGAAAATTCGGAGGAGGCCATCATGAACAACGAGTTCGGGATCATGCTACAACGGTTTAGCTGAAGCTAAGGGGAGAGGGAGGGAGAGAGAGAGAGAGAGAGAGAGAGAGAGAGAGAGAGAAAACCAAGGTGAGAGAAACTTACCTGGACCCAGCCAACATCCACACGATAGCCGTGTTTCGCGAAAAAGTCTCCACCGTCGAATGCTTCGCTGAATACGCGCCGGCGCCGACATAGTACACTAACGGAAGCATGAAATCTTCTTGAATCGATTCACTTACACGCATATCCAATCCCGGCCAGGCCACAGGCCATGAAGTAAAGCCAAGTCCGCACGTGCAGGAACGTCACGCCGTAGATGGCAAATGCTCCGGCGCCCATGACCAACGTCGTTTTGGCGCTCGTTTTCTCCAGCACTACAGGGGCAACGAGGTTGGCCAGCGTGTAGGTGATGTACAGGATGCACTGGCTAGAAAAGGAATTTGGCAGAAGATTAGAAAAGCTGCGCTGAACTCCTTGAACTTGAGGAAGTGGAGTTTTTCAGGATTCAATATGAATGTTCAAAAAGAGAGGTAGAAAGAAAGAACTAGAGAGTCCGAGAGAAAGCGAGATAGCTAGAGAGAGAGAGAGAGAGAGAGAGAGAGAGAGAGAGAAAGAGCGAGATTTTCAGCAAAAACTAACACCCCGAAACTCCGCGCAAAAACATACCCATAATACCCAGCAAAGTCGATGATACACTCGGGACAACGCACGCGCACCGAGTGCGTAATCGACTCCACCAGGAAGGCGAGGATGTTCACGCCGAAAAAGATGGACATTTGCAGCGAGCCCAATAAGGCGGAGGCCACCATCGTGAAGGTGTCGTCCTTCATCTCGGGGGATCGGAAAATGACCCCTGAAGGCCGAAGTCGCCCGGAAAACGAGTGGAGTTAGCCGGGTTGCACCCCGGTTGCGGCACGCGTTTTGCATAAGCCATTTCCAGGCGTTGGGCAATGCTCGTGCAGCCGATTCGATGGTTTTTGATCGCCCGGAGTAACGTGCTCGTAGATTCATTAAATTAAAATAGATTCAGGAAATATCATGGGCTAAAAATTTGAGAATAATATTTTAGGCTTTGGGAGAAAGAAACATGAAATACGATAAAAAGTCAGACTTTTGGTAGCTTTCTAGACTCTTCAGTATTTCTCTTCCTGTCTATCTCTCCTTATCAGTTTCTCTGTCGCTCTCTCTCGCCGTCGCTCTCTATCCCGCTCTCTCTCTCTCTCTCTCTCTCTCTGTTTCATTCTTTGTCTCTCTCGCTTTTTCTCTCTCTTCTTTTTGTTTTGATGCTGCTAACGTAGCTTTTTGCAAAATTTACGCGGCAAAAAAATTTCTATCATACACGCAAGCTTCCACATAACTTGAGATCAATAAAATCAGGGTCACCAGGTACGTTTTGAGCCTATGAACGCAAAAATATCGAAAATAAAAAAGCTAGTATCAATTTAATGGCGAGTCCCGCGCTGCTTCGCCGCCTCGAGCATCTCGTCCTGCAGCTGCTCCATGATCGGGAGTCGCTTGTGGGTGCTTTCGAAGTTTTGGCCGAGGCTGAAAAACGGATCGGATACTTTTAACGCTTGTTTCTCTAAATCTACGCTTAATAAAAGTTTTAGGTATCGACCAGGGTGACCCCGTAACCCCATTTTATCCTTCACTTTACATAATTGTCCTAAATTCAGATGACAAACAATGAAAAACAACTTCTTCTGTGCCTTTATATAGCCGAATCACCACTTCCGGTCTATGCTAATTATTTCCTAACAAAGGAGCTTTCACAAAAACTTAAATTTAATGTCGAAAATGGTTGATCTTGTAAAATTTGATATGTGTCCAGTCATCTCAAGACCATTGCGCACCTAATGACGTATCAAACATACCCGTAACTTCATCCCCTATCGAGATATCCTTCGGACAGACAGACGGAAGTGGATGCAAAGTGGCACACACAGACAAACACACAGACACTATTTTTTTATATATAGTAGGATATCGAAATTGCGCTTACCCAAACGTTTGCTTCTTCCAGTAGTTGTTCCGGATACGAGACCAATCCCAGGGGGCCGACTCGGTGGCTGAAAAGTAGGAAGTGCTGATTTTGGAAGCTTTTTTAGCTGTGAAGAGACAGAGAGAGAGAGAGAGAGCCAGAGAAAGCGAGAGAGAGCGAGAGAGAGCGAGGGATAGCGGGAGAGAGAGGCAAAGAGGGTGAGAGCGACAGGGCGAATGAGAGAAAAATCAAATCCCTAGCTAAAACTCACATCTGTCAATCCACAGCTCCACCTTCGTCAAGCTCAAATAGCCGAAAACCCCAACCAAAGCCACCCAGAAGCCCATTAGTCCAAGGAGCGGGTATACTTCGTAGGCATGGCCGAGCCGTCGGGTCAGAAACCTGGAAACTGGTGGATTTAGGAGGTCGACAGCAAGGAGCATGAGTTGAGTTAGCCTGGCGCCCCGAGCAACATTGGTTTCGTGGCTTTGGCATGATGTCGAGACCTAGTCCCCAGAAACGATCGATTTTTGGGCCAGCCAAGTCCCTTTAGAACCGCTCTTACCTCAACGGCGTATCCCCCTGCTGTGGGGCGACCGCAGCGGCAAACCGGTTATTCCTGGAGATGTTGCGTGAGTAGATGAGGTTCCCTGAAAAGTCAGTCTTTAAGATGTTGCTTGCTTCAGGTAAGCCTAAGCCCAAGCTTAAGCATAAACCTAAGCCTAAGCGAAGCCGAAAGCGAAGCCTAAGCCCAGGGATAAGCTTAAGCTCCCCGCCTAAGCCTGAGTTAATGCCTAAGCCTAAGCCCAAGCTAAACCTCCGCATAACAACCCGTTTACTCACCCAGTGCCTCATCCCGAATCGTCAGATTCGGCGGGTTCTTGAATTGCGAGATGCTTTTTTTGACGGCCAAATTCACAGGGAGCCGGGGCAAGGTGAGGCAATTGATTTTCCACAGTGCCATTATTTAGTGTAGATTCCAAAAAAAATCGAAGAGAAAGGAATTTCACTTCGTCAGCCCGTCGGCCTTATATAGAGGGGCGGGGGGGGGGGGGGTCAGCTCCTCCTCCTCTTCCTCCTTTCCATTTCCGGCCCTCACTTTCGCGGCGTTTTCTCGCGCCGTGGGACCCGCCTACCCCCCGGGCCGCACGTTTCTTCCCGGATTGCGCATATGGTAAAGCTGGCGTCAGCCGGGGGGAGAGGCCTCTATTTACCGTTGCCGGACTGTTCGTGGGGGTTTTGTCACGGAAAGGGGCCATCCGGGCATCTAGCAGCCAAGTGGGCGGAGCTTACACCTGATCTGGGTCATGGTTTGCAGGCCCACGCAGAGGGTTTTTTTTACTTTTCGAGCTTTTAAAGGACCAATCTTTTAAGGGATCGTTGTGCCTCTATAGAGCGAGAGCAAGAGAGAGAGAGCGAGAGGGGGAGAGAGAGAGACAGAGAGAGTTGCCAAAATTTTGACCTTCCAAACTTCTCCGCTTCGTTTCAGCAAAGCCAGTATTTGCATCTTAATTTGCATGTGGTCTATTTTCAGAAATGCTATCTTGAAATGGTAAAATCTTTTAAAACTAGTTAGATAGCAACTTTGTAGGAACTCGGTACTTTATAATCCGTCGAAATTTTCTTATTTGGCGGGCGTTATTTCTGCGGAATGGGACAATATCCATTTCCATATGATGGAAAGTAGGACTTCGCCGGGTTTCGGCGTGTTTTTTTATATATTTTGTTTCATACGTCTAGGCCGAAGAATTTTCGTAAGGCGTAAATTAGGTTTTCGTATGATTTGCGAAGCGTTTTTTTATCGGATTCCAACCAATCCCATTTTTACCATAGTGCTCTTTTTAGCTCTTTGTTTTTCTGCCCGCATCCCAAATCTAGGGGAACAACAACAAATTGTTTTATGGGGTGGCGGGGTGGAATGGTGACGCCTCCTCCGCCCAGGGACAGGGCGGAGAAGACGAAGACGTGCAGGGGGCTCCAAGTGCAAAGAGCGATTCCCCCTGTTGACAAATGGCCTCTCTCTGCCCCCCCCCCCTCCACTGCCTCGAGACTCCTTTTGGCACAATGACGCTACGCTGGGAGTCCCGGGTGCGGGTGGGGACAAAAAAAGCACGTAGCGACATGGATAGGATTTCGCGAGTCGCCGTTGCTAAAAATGTGTTGCGGAAGTGGGCTACCACTGAGGGAGACTGAAAAAGGAGCCACAAGGATCAGAAGCCGGAATTGTTTAAAAACGGATTAAAGGTACTGGGGAGAGAGAGAGAGAGAGAGAGAGAGAGAGAGAGAGAGAGCGAGCGATAGTGCGAGAGAGAATGTCACGATGCTGAGAGAAGCATGAGACCCTTCTTCAAAACCTAGTGAGACAGAGACCAAGAGACAGAGAGGAAGAGCGATAGTGCGAGAGAGAGAGAGAAATAGCGAGGAGGAGAGAGATAAGATGAGAGATGTAACGAGAATAAGAGAGAGCGAGAGAGAGAGTACCAAAATTGGCGACCAAAGCGAGAGTGGCGCCTTATATTGCCACTAGGCTTGTTTGATTCCCATATTCCACACTTCCCAGCCCCTTTAAAAACCGTGCACTTTCAAAAAATTTTTACTGCCGTTTTTGACGCTCCATATCTACCCATTTTCGCATTCACCGGAAATGAATCCCGTGTTTTTCGCCCCGTAACCGCCAATTATTTTTGTTATTGGCGCACCGAGCGAGAGGAATTGCGCGAACCCCTCTCAAATTCGATTATTTTTAGAGGGCCTGGGAGGGGCAAATCCGGGGATGCCCCGGGGCACAGAAAAGCACCGATTCTGGGTATTTTGTGGTCGGGAGGAGTAAAAGCGGAGAGGAGCACGGGCTATAATTCAAGCACCCCATATAATCCGGCGCACTTTTGCAGGCGAAACCGGAAGGGTTCGTCCTGCATAACAAAGGTTTTTCTCAGGGTTGATGGGGAACTTAAAAAAGTAGCTGAAGCTGTCGATGACGGATTCTTATCGAGTGTGTCGTAGCGTCTAGGTAACGTATCGGTAACTCATCGTAGTCATGATACGCCTCCGTGTAATATCGCAACGTATCCTTGCGTAAACGTACTCTACTGCATCGCAGTGTACATAATGAAATCATAGAGCATCAAAAAATATCAGAGCGTAGCGTAACGTATGGTAGCGTATCGTGACGCATCGTTTTGTACCCCTATCGCTTCCACAGCGTAACGAGCGTACCTTATCTTAGGGTTTTTTAACGCTTCCTAGAGTATGGTCTCTTTCTTGTAGCGCAATCAACTATAATAATTTTGCTGTGGTCTCCGTCCGTCCGTCTGTCCGTCTGAAGCCGAATTCAACTCGAAGGGGAAAGGAGCTAGAGCTTAGCTCTCTTCGGATTCGGATAGAGCGCCGTCAGAAACCCCCAAACTGATAAAAAAATTATGAAAAAGTTTTAGTTTAAATTATTAAAATTAACTTTGAAAGTTTTTCCTTAGTAAAAGGAGTGGGGGCCCCTTTCCCGGGAGGCCACGCCCCCTTTCCCTTCGCCCATCTTCCCCAGGCCCCTTCCCGCGCCCAGATAGCTTTCTTAAGTTACTTTAATACTTTTTAATACTTTTAATACTTTTTAATACTTTTTAATTATGTTAATTAATTATTTAAATCATCTAAAGCCATCGGGAAGGTATTTAGGTAGTTTTTGAAGGGGATTTCAGCCATGGGGGGTATCTAAAGCCATCAGGAGGGTATGTAGGTAGTTTTTGAAGGGGATTTCAGCCATGGGGGGTATCTAAAGCCATCGGGAAGGTAAAGTTACTTTAATACTTTTTAATACTTTTTAATTATGTTAATTAATTATTTAAATCATCTAAAGCCATCGGGAAGGTATTTAGGTAGTTTTTGAAGGGGATTTCAGCCATGGGGGGTATCTAAAGCCATCGGGAAGGTAAAGTTACTTTAATACTTTTTAATACTTTTTAATTATGTTAATTAATTATTTAAATCATCTAAAGCCATCGGGAAGGTATTTAGGTAGTTTTTGAAGGGGATTTCAGCCATGGGGGGTATCTAAAGCCATCGGGAAGGTAAAGTTACTTTAATACTTTTAATACTTTTTAATTATGTTAATTAATTATTTAAATCATCTAAAGCCATCGGGAAGGTATTTAGGTAGTTTTTGAAGGGGATTTCAGCCATGGGGGGTATCTAAAGCCATCGGGAAGGTAAAGTTACTTTAATACTTTTTAATACTTTTTAATTATGTTAATTAATTATTTAAATCATCTAAAGCCATCGGGAAGGTATTTAGGTAGTTTTTGAAGGGGATTTCAGCCATGGGGGGTATCTAAAGCCATCAGGAGGGTATGTAGGTAGTTTTTGAAGGGGATTTCAGCCATGGGGGTATCTAAAGCCATCGGGAAGGTAAAGTTACTTTAATACTTTTTAATACTTTTTAATTATGTTAATTAATTATTTAAATCATCTAAAGCCATCGGGAAGGTATTTAGGTAGTTTTTGAAGGGGATTTCAGCCATGGGGGGTATCTAAAGCCATCGGGAAGGTAAAGTTACTTTAATACTTTTTAATACTTTTTAATTATGTTAATTAATTATTTAAATCATCTAAAGCCATCGGGAAGGTATTTAGGTAGTTTTTGAAGGGGATTTCAGCCATGGGGGGTATCTAAAGCCATCGGGAAGGTAAAGTTACTTTAATACTTTTTAATACTTTTTTAATTATGTTAATTAATTATTTAAATCATCTAAAGCCATCGGGGAAGGTATTTAGGTAGTTTTTGAAGGGGATTTCAGCCATGGGGGGTATCTAAAGCCATCAGGAAGGTATCGAAGTAGTTTTTGAAGGGGATTTCGGCTATGGGGGGTATCTGAAGCCATCAGGAAGTTATCGATGTAGTTTTTGAAGGGGATTTCGGCTATGGGGGGTATCTGAAGCCATCAGGAAGTTATCGATGTAGTTTTTGAAGGGGATTTCGGCTATGGGGGGTATCTGAAGCCATCAGGAAGTTATCGATGTAGTTTTTGAAGGGGATTTCGGCTATGGGGGGTATTGATGGAGGTGGGAAAGGATGTGGTGGAGTGGGACATGTAGGGTAGCCCGAAGGCCAGATGGTTGCAGTCGCGAAGCGACTGTAACCATCTGGTATTTAACGTATCTTTGACCAATCTAACAGCGTATTTTGAAAGTATCCTTGCGTAGGTTTAGCGCATTTCAGTGCAACGTAACATCGTAGCGTCACATCTTCGCGATGCACAGTAGCCGTAGCGTAACGTACGTTACTACTATAAAATCCTTTTTACAGGTACTGCATACTTGGTGTCTCGATTCCAAAAATCCCCTCCCCGAAAAGTTGCGTTCAAATGATGCAACCGGCTGTGGAGCGCGGTCAAAATGGCCGATTTGCTTTTTTTGGAATGCGCAACGAGACCAAATTGTCCCTACCATCGCTGTTACCTGCATATTTTGATAACTCACTCGAGCGACGCAGACCGGAAGCCATACCATAGTTCTGCCCAGAAAAACAGCCTCAAAAATTTTGCGTAAAAAAGTGTTCTCAAAAAAACTACTAAACACACAATAAAAATACTCTATACATAATTAGCAGGTAGGTATAGGTGGAAAAACGAAAAGTTTCCCTTTCAGCTATAGTACAGGACCGGAAAAACAAACCATGAAAAAATACAGCCTACGACCCTTCCGTTTTTCCAAAAATTGAATAAACGATGAGACAAAAATTCAAGGCAAGACAAAACGCTTCATTTTAATTTTCCCCCGTTTTAACTTCTACTTGCTGTCCTTGAACCTGCATGCCTGTCCCAGCAACAGATCTCCGAACTTCCCGGGTGTTTTTTGGAGCGCCAGTGACAGTTGCATCTTTCCATCCCTTCCATCGGTGATGTGGCCGTGGGAAAAAGCCGCGCCGGATACGATATGAGACCCTGAAACCGGTATAAATGTTGCTCTTTCCCAAAGGGACCATTTGACATTTCGATCTCGATAACCGGAGCTCAATGTGCCAGCCTTATTTTGAAAAGCTGTCTTTCTAAATTATGTAATCCTAAAACGTCAGAATCGAAGTTAAGTAATCCTAAAGAATCCCCTAGAGCTCTTAGCATCCCGTTATATATAATTAACAATTAATCAATAAAGCTTATATTGAAGGCATTTTAATCGAAAAATTCGTCCGCGAAAATACTACAAAGGTGGGGCGTTGTCGCAGTAAAGTTCATTGAAGCCATTCAAGGCCACTGAAAATAAGTCCACTACGATCAGCTGAGAGGCATGGCGATATTGAATTGGGAAAAGACAGTTATTTTCAATTTATTTTAAGTTCTGATGTACTTTAAATATCGGACTAATCTATAAATTTAGAAACAGGCATCTTTCCAGGCAAAAGCAGTCCCCCCCCCCGATGGATTTTGGCGCGCCTTACAGCACTGTTAGTTTATTCTATTACATTCCTAAACTCTTTTTTGTAGTTCGGCATTGCTCGCACCACCAATGGCTTAGTAGTTCTTTGCGGAGATGCACATCGGCCACAATCACCGCCAATTCGGAAACGCCAAAATGTACGGAATAGCGAGAATTTAATGGAAATCCTTCGCTCAAAAAATCGTCCGTGCTTCAGGCAACCCTTCTCAAATCCGGGCGACCAACCCGCGACTTCCACCACCTGCTTTACCTGCACACCCCGCTGCAGTGGAAGGTGCTGCAACATCTCGATCCCGCCGACCTGCTCTTCCTCTCCGATCTCTCCCCGGCGATGGAATGCTTGATTCGCGGCTTCCCGAAGCGATGGGCCTACGAGGGCTATTTTTATTTGTAGGTGAAATATTTATTAAATTTTGAAGAAATAAAAACCTGACGCTTTCTCCTTCAGTCGCGGCGAGACTACGGTGTATTTATCGGAGCACATCGACGAAAACATTTCCGTTCGCTATCCGTGGAGCTTGCGCATCACCAGGTAAGGCTCCAACTATAGTAATTATCCTATTTAAGAAACGGCAATCTACGCCTCGGGCACGAAAATGTTTATACAAAAAGGGTAGACCCGAAGAACCTATCCACCGACCTGACCAGACTATTTGAAATTCTATTTCCGCGAAAACGACGTGAAGATTCATTGGTGGGCCACATATTTTGACACTTCCGTAAATATCGGAAAATCCTCTACCTCCACCGCCATTTTCAGGAAATCTCAAAACCCGACTGGAGAGCCGACATCCCGTTGATAGTGACCTTGTTATCCGACAAAAATCGAGAAGTGGATAGAAACTAATAACTCGAATTTATTAACGTAACAACATCGCAAAACTCAACAATAAAAACAATCACAGATTATCATTGACAACTCTTGCTAATATAATCTAGGAAAAGTGATGCTACCCGCTCCTTTTGTTCCACGATGTGCGTCTTGGAGAAAGTGATGAATTGACGGCGAAGGCGGGACAGCTCCGGGAGTGAAAGGGCCTTGGTGAAGCGGAACTGGAATTAAAAATATAAATTTCAAAAAAAGCCGTTTTCGTTTTACCTTATTATTCCCCTCTTCGGCAAACGGGACGACGAGTTCTTGGCCGGGCAGCGCCAGTCTTTGCGCTTGGTACAAAAACTGAACGACCTAAAAAAGTTCTTGAGAGTTTTGCAATCTTTTACCTCTTGCGTTATCCGATCCAATTCATGTAGAAAGTTTGTCGCTGCCAGCGGCGCTGTGGTCGTGCTCTGATTTTCTTTCAGCGCGATTCCCTGTAAATAGGCCGATTGGAATCGGATTTCAGGCCTCACCTCTACTAGCCAATCATATATCTCATCCAGCGGGATCTCTACGTGACGTGGAGCTGGTCTAAAGAAAAACATTCGATTTCTTTGATCCAATTTACCTATCCAAATCTTGAGAAACATCGTCACACTCTGTCATATCACTGCCTTCCTGTTTACCAACCTAAAAAATTGGGCCTTTTCGCGAGATTAAAAAAAATCATACCTGGATGTGGAACAACGGCGTATCCCAACGTTGGCTGGCCGGCTTCTCATAGCGCAAGATCAACTCGTGAATCTTCTCATCTGTATATCTAAAAGAATGTTACAACAACTCGACTACTTTACCTTTCTTCAACTGGCTTCTGTTGATTTAGGTGTTTACACGCATTTTCCGTGCCGTCTATCTACACTAGAGGGAAAATCACAAATATTTTTGTAATACCTGCATCACAGCGTACGTAGTTTTCGCCAATTTGCCCACCAGGAAAAGTTCATACCGGAAACCTAAAAAACAAGATTATTGAGGGCTGATCGAATACCTTTGATATAATTCAAGCCGTCGCAAATCACAATCGTATTCCTGGAGATGGCCTGCTGCAGCTGGGATCGAAGATAGGAGCGAAATTCTTTTTCCTGAACTAAGTCATTACGAAAATTCTTAGCCAGCTAAACCTGTAGCGCATTATTGTAAGCCGCCCTGTCGAAAAGGTGGTAGTCTCCCTCGCGTATGATGCTGACTTCTCTTCCCTATGCCAAAGATTTCGATCAAAGGAGGAAAACCTACTTTGTCTTTAAAATAAGCGGCTACTCGATCGACGATAGTAGATTTTCCGGCGGCTGGGTAGCCGGTCACGAGGAGCAAGGGCATACCTAAATTCGAGATTTTCAATACAAAATAATTCACAGAACAGAAATTTAACTTTATTTAGAAAAAAAAGTATTGTTTTCTTTCTCTGCCGATTCCAGTTCACGGGGCCGCAACCGTCCAATACACGCTCGGGTTATATGCTTGCTAGGCAACCTCGTCCGCCGGCCGCAATCCCTCGCTTTGTGCGACCATTCCATTCTTTCTTGTTTTGCGAGCACATTGCGTTTTCTTTTAGATGTTTTTCTTCGTTTTTCTATTCTTGTATTTCTAACGAAGTGGTCCCTCTATTCGGATTCCCCGATTAGATCTCCCCGGAGCCAACTGCTATAGTTTTCTTCTCGCGGAGGATTTCCCTTTCTGAAACAGCTATCTTTTCTAACTCCCCTAAAATGATTGTCTCGCATTTATTTTTCTCGCAAAACTTTTCAACAACTTCTCCATTACCCTGACTAATTTTCAATTTTTCAGATGTCGCTTTCGACGATCACCCCAAGGTTCATCTCTCGCGTGGGTGTTGCGCGCGTCTTCGTGATGCGCCAGGCTTCCGGCGGCCTCACCGTCCACCCGAAGAAGGTCGCCGTCAACGAGCCCGGCTTCTGCGTCTACGAGCGTGACATCTCCAAGGACACACGTTACGCCTCCCCGCAGAAGCTCGGGGATACCCCGATCCGATTCCTCGTGCGTCGCCTCGGACACGCCTACGAGATCTACCCGCTGTTCGCGTTGACGGGTATCTGGTTCGTCCTCTTCTGCTACGTCGTCTACTACTCGTTCGAGAAGGGAGAGATCTGGCTTGACCGCAGCCACGCCACCGCCCCCTGGGACTGGGAGCGCATCCGCAACAACTACTGGAAGAAGCCGACGCTTGTCTTCGACAAGGAGGGTGTTACCCACCGCCGTCTCCCGATCATGGAGCAGCTGCAGGACGAGATGGTTGAAGCTGCCAAGGCCCGCGGAACCCGCTAAACTGTGAAGAACTAACCCTTAGCCTCGTTATCCATTAACGAAAACGCACCATCACCACTTCTTTTGTATGATTATCCGATTTTTTCCGGGGTTTCCGCGTCGACTAGGGTCACTAGTCGGTCTCGGGCGTCGTCGTTTGTACGTTAGGCCTTTTATCGCTCCCGTATTCTCGTATTATGTTCATTGAAGATGTTTTTTCATGGTAGATTCTTGTTCCAATAAATAAATTTCAGTCTCGACTGTCTACGCACACAGTGGGACATCATGAACGAAGACGCTCATGAAAGTAGGAGTGCGCTCTTTGGATAATCTTTTGAATTAGATTGCGAAAATCATCCGGTGTTCGCCGTCTTCCTCCCTGACGATGTAGCCAGCTCGCCAAAAACGTTTTACAACACAGCAAAAGAAGCGGCGAAATGGGCCAACTCGCCAGAATTGAAAGCAAAAGGTATCTATTCGACAGGATGCGGAACCGTTTGTTTAGGGGCACGCTTTCGACGTTTTGACTCACCAGTGGCCGCGCAGCACTTTATTGGAAGTCCGTTGGCCGTGTTCCGTGACAATAGCCCTCAACTTACCGGATCGGACCCGGCTGTTCCATTCAAGGCGACGACAAAGTTCGTTTTTGGCCTAGAGCGATACGCGAAATTTCAGGATCGAAATGAACCGTCTGAAGCGTTTCGTGGAGCTCGATCAGTTGTCGGAATTCTCGCAAATGGTTATGGGGAATCCACGTTATCTAGTCAACACATCGGGTGACTGTCCAGCAATTGCCCAGGTCGTACATGTCTCAATAATGATTATTTTGTTTTTAGGAGGGTTTTCGCTATAATGTACTACATGTGGCTGCGAGAAGTGGTGCGGGGCTGGTGACCGCGAAGACGCTCGAACTTTGCGCGGACCCTGCATTCTTGAGTCGACTCTACGGGACGGACGAAGCTGATGTGCTGATGCGGAGGTGATTGTGACGTGTTGATTAGATTTTTTGAATTTTAGGGATAATATTATCCTTGGCTACCTGTGTACACCGGACAAAGGGAATGTGGGAACGCCGCTCATCATGGCGCTGAAGTTTGGTCAAACGAAAGTGGTTCGTGCGATCATCGACTTCATGAGACTGTCCGTATGCGAACACCTGCGTCCACGGTATACAAAATACAGCTATTTTTCATAGTTTCTAGGCTCGAGCTCAATCTTTCGCATCTTTTGGATGATGCTATTCTGTGTGCGCGTTACAACGGCAAAGAGTCCAAGGAGGACGTCAAAAATGAAATAAAGGTTGTTGTTGTCGTGGTCGTTTCAACTTTCATAGCTTTAGAAACTTTTCAACACCTTCTACGTGCCGCTCTATCGCTCGATCGATGCGTCGGCGCCTGCTAAAATTCTGCTGCCCACGGATTGTCCAAGGTGCGGATTTTGGCGTATATTTATTTGTTGTTGACCAGGTTGCTCATAACTCCACATGCCGGCGACTGCTTGCCAAGCGCTTCGGGGTCTGATCTGTTCTCAATGGCCGTCAACTACAAACTCGCCGCCTGCGCCGGACCATTCTTGGTAAAATGAGATTATCATAGAAAAATATCTTTTGTTTTAGGGAGAAGAAACGGCACAGGCGTTCCAAAAGGATTGGGCGCGCAGCGGCTTCAAGGAGAAACGCAGTGACATGGAAAAAGGTAAATTTTTATGTTGCCTCCTTATCCAAAGTTCTACCAGGCTTCGAACGTGTCGGTCGCCAACTGGCGCGCAAGTATGGCGTCGAATGGAGGGAGGCCTGGGTCTTCCTCGAGACGATGTGCGACGTGACGACAGAAGAGGGCTTGCAGTTGGTAGACCACTATCTACGAAAAATGCGCCTGCAGCCTGACGAGTCCTTCGGCGACAGCACGCAGACAGAAGTGAGTTTTTTTCTTATCAACCATTTTCCGCTTTTAGCCCCGAAAACAACTCTTCTTCGCCGAAGAAGACGACATGGAGGGCGCTGGGGATATGCGTACGTTTTTTTCTCCGTCAAATTTCACTATCCAAATTTAGCCAGCGAAAACGAAGACTTCTGTGATGCAGCTGAAATGTTTGAAGGTATAATAGAAACTTTGCCTTCATTTAACTCTTGACTTTAGAGCCTGACTCCGAAGAGCCGTCACCCGACGATTCGCTGATGGGGCTAACAAAGAGGTATATTTTTCAGAGGGCATTTGCTGAAAATTTTGGGTCGCGTTTCTAAATTGCCATGTAGAATGGATGAAACTGCCATTGAGGACGAAGCGATGGAGTATGTTTGACTCTTGCACACTATCCCTTGCTGGTACTAGCTGATTCTTTAGCGCCTAATCTTTTCCGTTGCTAATATTTCGGTTTAACATTTTTTTTGCTTTCTTTACATGGTTTAACAGATATTCCAGATTCGAAGACTTGGCCTTGGTCTCGCCTGTACCCGATGCGGGCGACGAGAAGATGGATGATCAGGTTAGAGTTTATATTTTTGTGGAAAATAGTTTTTTTTGAGGAATCGAAGTCCGGCATCGCGTCACTCAGCGACGATGAGTACGACACGCCACCGCCAAGTCCGCCGCCCACCTATCTATTCGAGGAGCCGACAAAGGTAATTCTACCGGATTCCGCTTTGAACAGGTCCTTTCCAGCTGGACAACGACCTCTTCCTGGCCTTGAACGAGACACCAGAAGAGCGACTAGGCAAATTCCCGCAGGTATTCGATTTATTTATAGCAATGCTTAAGCACATTATTTAGGTTTCGCTCTTCATGCGCCAAATGGGCCGCGTCGAAGAGCGGGCTCGACAATGCTGGCCCGGCGTGGACAGTCCAAGGTATCGCCTTTCAAGTTTCCTTAATCAGAACTTATTAGATGTCCGCGTACCCGAAGCCTGCAACGTCTGACCAAGGAGCGACGATACACACCAAAAGGCACCCTTGATTTGTGATTGAACGTGCACCCTTCTTACCCCTACCTCGTACCGATTAATTTGTTTCTCCCCTTCCCCCACTCCGTCTTCACAGTACCCTCATTTTTACGTTCTCATGTTCCTCGCCCATTCCTGGTCATATGCTTACGTGTAGCTTCCAATCGGTGCCTTTTCATTTTGCTGAGAATAAAGATTATAGGTTTTAGGCTTTGCCTGTCTGAGAAAGTTGCCTGAGGGTTGAAAAAGAATTTATTGCAGTGAGTTGCCATCTACGCAGGAAGAGAATCGAGCCAACCCCGCGCCCAACAAAGTTCTCGAAATACGGTGGGACGCTGTTTTTCACATACATACAGCGCCCACACAGTCTGGCAGTTTTTGGACTTTCTATTTATTGGGAGCCGGAAAGCGCACATTATTTCGCCCGGCGATCCCTTCCGTGTACGGTCGGAGAAAACAAAAAGTGCGGTAGTGTTTTGGCGGCGTTGTACGAAGATCGCCACGCAAGATGCAACGATACAAGATACAAGATCGTGTGCATGAAGACAAGTAGGAGAGGCAAGATGGATTTATTGCAATGGATTGGAGCTGGTTCGTCTGGAAAATGATATTTGAATAAAAGATATCGTCGAATCAAACACGGCGTCCGATTCAAACGCAAAAAGTTATTCTATTTTTCGAACCTTTCCTACGCGTGATGGTCGGTTATCCTTGTTTGGCGTGAAATATACCAATTTTAGGCGGAAGCTGCTGAGCAACCCTCGTCGGCGGTGACCTCTCGATCGAGAACGCCTCGTTCGCCCGGCTCCCTGGCGTCGCTCTGCGTGGGCTTTGACAGATTTTCAAAGGCCTCTTTCTTGTCGAAGGGTTAAAATTAAAAGTTCCGTCGACTCGTCCATCCCTGTTTTCAACTTTGCCTAGAAGTGCGACTCTTTTTCTATTACTATTCCCCCCCCCCCGCCAATAATCTAGAAGACCCGATAACGAATTACAAACCGTTTTTATAGAACTTTGGTCAAGTTCCGGGCAATCAAAAACCACTAAAACAACCATAATAAATTGTTTTAAGATCTGTCAATTAGGCGTTCGTGAAAACCCCTTCCCCCTCGATAGATGATTGATAAAATTAAATTTAATAACATTTTATGGTATTCCGGTTCAGGAGCGGGCCTCGTTCTCGGTGGTGGTGCGCACCTCGAACTCGGAGGACGCGTCGACGCGCGCCTACATCTTCGTGCAGCTGGCCGACTCGCAAGGCGCCATCACCGACAAGATGCGCCTCAAATGCTCCATCACCCATCGCAAGAAGTTCCTCGTACGTTTCTTTTCGCACCGCCCTAAAAGTTGATGAAGATCGAGCATGAGTAAGCTAATAATGCTACTTTTCGAAGTTTTCTAAAGATTTTGCCTACTTGGAGGAAAAAATTTCACAAATTAGGCAACAATTTTGCCGATGTCTTATTTATGCAGCGCGGCCACGCCGACCTGTTCATCGTCGTCGGACAACCGCACCTCGCTGACATTGCCACCGTGCAGCTGTGGCACCAGAAGCGCGCCGACACGGTCGACGCGCGTCTCCACCACTGGGAGCTCGAGTCGGTGGATGTGATTGGTAGTGGCTGATCAATCGATATTTGCTAAAAATGCCGACATTAGAGCACCGCTCCCAGAAGATCTACCACTTTGACGCGAACTGCTCGATGGGCAAGTGCCTGGAGAAGGAGAGCACCATCCTGCTGCGCGATCCCAAACCGGCTGTCAAGGTCGAACCAGCTTTTTTTCTTAGGCCCCAATTTTGTTAACATAACTAGAGGAAGTGTTTTTATAATTTTTTACTATCATTAATTCCACTAAAATACAAACTATCTAGATTCTTCAAAAAATGGCCTAGCTAGACCAGAATTTCAAGGTTAAAAATTTTTTAAAGTTTTTAGATAACTTTTCTACTTGAAATAGATTAAACTTTTACTAAAAAACATTACTTACGTCACCAGGCATTTCTGAGTTCATACAAATTTAAAAACTATTATGAAAAAGCAAAAAAAAAAACAATTTACGTCCAACATTCCGAATTTTTACGCTGTTGTAAGGTTTTAGTGAGGTTTTCCACGTCAATTATCATTAAGCAGCACTAAATATGCTATTAAAATACCTAAAATTACGCTACTAGGAATTTTTGGACATAATAGGAAAATTCGTCGCCCCGATAAAACGAAAGTCCATTGTAAATAAATGCCGACATTTGGCATTCAGACGTTTGAAATAATGAGTTTTCGCTACTCTGATACTAGAGTGCGGCTTATTCAAATCAAATCACGACTCAAACCGGTTTGATTTGAATAAGGGCGGTTTGAATAAGAATCTGCTTTTCAAATCAAACCGGTTTGGTTTGAATAAGGATCCGTTATTCAAACCAAACCGACCAGGTTTGAGTTGGTTTGAATTGGTTTGAACAACAGGCAAATCAGCATGTTAATCGATTGGATGGATGCTAATCGGCTAAGTTTTCGAGGCATCCCGTCTAAAACCTTGTGCGATCAATATAATGATGAAATTGGCATCATTTACGGGGTTTACGCACTTTTTCAACGATAGGCTTGGCATTCTCAACCTTTCACAAGCATCCAAATGGTCGGGATAACCTTGGCAGCGCTGAAAGAAAAAGGTCTCGAAATGATCCGCTAACCCCAAAAACCTAGCAGGAATGCCGCTGAATCACTCTAAAGTGAAGTCACAAAAGGATTGGTGCCAAAACGCAAAAATGGTGCCGAAAACAGACTGTTTCGGACACTGGTTCTTATTCAAACCTTGTTCAAACTATTCAAACCGGTTTGGTTTGGTTTGACTTGGGAATCCTTATTCAAACCGGGTTTGGTTTGAATAAGGATCCCGTATTCAAATCAAACCGGTTTGATTTGAATAACGGAAATCTTATTCAAACCCGGTTTGAATAAGCCGCACTCTACTCTGATACCAAGTTGTTAAGGATTGACTAGGCTTCATCTCCAATCCCAAACTCTTCCAGGTTCTCCGCAAGGCCGCCCCGCCGCCGCGCGTGCCGATGGAAGCGGTCGGCGTCAAGAAGGATGTCCCCGAGAACCCGCTCGAGTCCTAACCGTTCGAAGCGTCCGTCGCCGGATCCGACCCCTTTAAAACAACGCCCACCCCACCCGTTTTCCGATTTATGCAAACAAGCGTGCTCTTGGAATGAATTGTTTTGATCGTTGTCGCGGGTTTGGGTCTAATTTTTGGGACTGCGGATTCAGAGACGGAAACCACGAGGCAGCCGGATTAAATCGTAGTCCCTTTTCAGAATTTAAAACTTTGCCCATCTTTATAAGCCCAAATAGACTCGGCAGTTTAATCCGACGTTTTTTTGGAAGCGTCGGTAACCAAAATTTGCAGTTTTTAAAGTGTTAGGGCTGGAAAATGATTAAAAACACGAAAATGTCCTATCTTAACCGGCACGCCAAAAGACTCTGACTTATAACCGAATTTCTAAAGTTCTTTAAAACTAAAAAAAACTAAAACCTTACTGTAAAAACGTTTCATTAAAACTTTGGCGGAATGACGAAACCTACTAAAAAACGAAATTATTGAATCATGGGAATTATAAAATCCAGACTAAATAAAAATTTATATAAAACTGAAATTATCCCCTGGTGCGTATAATTTCGCCGGAATGTTTATTCTAATTTTAAGTTTTTTTTTTGCTAATTAGCGCCCTAGTGATACTTTAAAATGTCATAAAATGCATCAGAATCTTCGACAAAGGGTCTGATGCCGAAAGGACTCTCCCAAATCCGTACACATACTTGATGACTCATCACCGCTCGCCTCAAAAATAACGAAAAACACCAATCCCCGATGCCAATTTCCGGGTGATTTTTGTTCCCGGGATATCCGTTCAGGGCGGGGGGACAGCGCGCGGCGCGCCCAAGTACAATACGGCGGCGGCGCGCCTTGTTTACGGGAAGTCCAAAAATTGTCGCCCCGCTCGCCCCTGGTTGCCCTTTTCGAGGTGGTGGTCCCGGCGCGGGCGCGCTGCCGGCTGCAGTGGCAGCAATTTTGTGCTACTAGAACCGGGATTGACAACAGAAAGGGCACGAAAAGCGCTTCCAGAATTTTGGACCATGTGTGTTTACCTTTACACGAATTGTGCCTGGAGTCTGTGACCGAGACGATCCGTTGCTGGTGGTGCTGTTTGCAGGCTGGGATGATCGGGGTGATCTTTCTGTAAGCAAGTCGCTTGTCTCACATCTGTCCTGCTTGAAGTCACCGGCAGCCGACCTCCCGGGCGTGACGCCTACGCGCTGCGTAGAATAGAGGATGCGAATGTACTAAATATAGATAAACAGCACAAAATCAACTGAATTATTCGAGTTAAGACGTTAAAAAAGTCATAGCTGGTGTTTATCAGCTCTGGCTTTTGAAGCGACATAGGCTTGTGCTTAAAATTAGGAGAATGCAAAATTTCGAAAAACACAGAAGCCTCGGGATTTTCAGAATTTAAGAACCGGCCACAATAGGGCAAAATTCCGCGATAATCCTGAATCCGCCATCAATCTTTGTAAAATAGCGCGATTTGGATTTGGCTAGTTTGCCAAAATGCCGAACATACATCCTGCTAAATTGTTCAACATTTCATATTTCGTCTAATAACCCAGATCTTCAGCTAAAAAGATTACAACAAATTAACTTAAAAGCCGCATAATTTTTCCAAAAAATCGAAAGCATATTCGGAAGATAAAAATCCTGTACAAGCAACGCTATGCTTGGTAGCATCTCGAAAAGCCGGCTTGCGCCTAGGTGGCTTCTTGCTCGTTTTTCAAGGCACCTGAACGGGGGGCAGTTCCTTCGACACTCAGCTTCATCACAAAACCCCCACGATTTTCTGATAAATTTCCCACAAAAGGGGAGATTTTTCGTTTGTTTTTCTCCCCCTCCCCCATGCTATGCGGCTGCAAATTCTTGCGCTGGCTGCGCGCCAGCTCGGCGAGCCACCGTAACCCCCTTTCCCTCGCAAAAGCGTCACTCCCCAGTCCCAAACCGAACCGATTCGAGTCTCTCACCCCTAAAAGTGCAAGATGTGCCCTGGCGATACGGTTCGGGCTAGCCGAGCCGAACCCGGGGCTACCGTTTTTTGTGGGCCCTATCCCACTATCGCAGTGAATAATGTCGTCCAACATCGCGCTGAAGTGACCTCGGAACGCAGCTCTGAACCATTTGTGCACTTTGGCTCCAGCCCGTGGCGCCCAGTTCCACCCTAAAAAGTGTGCGCGCTTGATTGACGCGCGGCTGATGGGCCCGCGGGGTACGGTAGAGCGTGGAAATTGAGGTGCACACTCAAGCGTTGCTGAATTTGACGATTCGGTTAGCGTTTCCTAAAATTGAGGATGAACAACAACTTTACGAGGGTCACCTAGGTTCCAGCAAGCCCAAAAAAGCTATTACCGAGTAGCCGAAAAATCTCGACATCGAGAAAACCGGATTTTTAGGAAAAAGTAATTTGCGGAACGTGAACTTGGGCGAGCATGGCCTAAGAAAAGTCTCGATTATCCCGATTCGTAAGCTCGTGAGATTAGGACCACGAGGTTCGAGCTTGGTTTCGGTTATGAAGATGCCAAAAACTCGAAAAGCCAGTGTTCAAACGGTAGTAGCTTAACGAAAACTATGGTTTTTAAAGAAGCCGTAGAAAGCGCCTCCTAAAAAGCGTCTGGCCAATCGATACAAAAAGGGCTAACGTTCGAAATTTAGTTGCGCCATCAGGTCAACATTTTTCACCCCATCCGCTCCAGTTTCACAACCGAACAAAGTTAGTTTTTCAACTTGTTAGGCCCCAATTAAGCGAGAAATAACTTTGAAAGACATCCCTAACTCGGCCTAAGAAATTTAAAAACAAGCTTCTGGAGCTCGCGAATGTTCCGCTTTTTTGGGTCTCGAAGGGTCTGCTGGATGCTGACATTGGCCGATTGTCCATGGACGAAACAGAAGGCGGCTAAAGAGCCCGCATCCAGGGATCGTCGCCGAATTACCTGCAAAAATGCTTGACTGGAGCCTCCCCATCCACGACGGGGCAACCACCGCTTTTCTTAATCCACCAACTTCGGAAAAAATAAGTCCCCCAATTCGCAGCCGGGTCGCGCGGTCTCGCCCAAAATTCGGTTGTCGGTTCAAATACGAGGTGCGCGGGGTACGCCGTTGCACTTTTAGTGATGAGCGCGCCCGGGTGGGCGGACGAAACTGACTGACTGGCGGTTTCCCCCTCCCCTCTTTTTCCTCGATTTGTTTCAGCGCGACAATTCCTCCTCTACATCGCCCGAGATCCACACACTCGGTGAAGAGATGCCCTTTTGCCCATAGATAGCATCGGCAAACCCGAACCCACCAGTCCCCCTCCCCCTTCTCCTGAGGCGCGACAACAGCACGTGTGCACTTTTAGCGTATGGGAGGAGGTGGTGGAAGGTCAGCGATGGGCAGGCGCTAGCGGTTCGGAAACCGGGAAATTCCGGGAGTACGGACTAGGGGTGGGCCTAGTAGCAGGTGCCGGCGGTGAATCACCATTGTTTTTCTCGACGGGGGTACGGTGGCCTGGCAGAGGTTCTTTGGGGAAGTAAGATCGGGCCGGGTACTTTTTATTACCGGAAATGGGTTCCTAAGGACTCGCGGGGGAAGCAGCTTCTTCCGGCGCAAGCATAGATTTTTTTAATAAATAGCGGATGCGTTTGTATATAGGTTTTAACTATTCCTGAGCATAAAATTTTACAAATTTTATTAAAAAAGCAATTTAGGTTTGTTTTCTAATTTTTTTCAAAATTTGTGTTCCAAATGCCGCTATAACTTCCTAAAAACATTCGATACTTTATATTCGATTACTAGGCCAGCCTGGGCCGCTAGGAAAAAAAGATGGTTTCTCGGACAAGCCCGAGAATGAGAACGGTCCTCGTATACCTAGAAAACGTACAGTGCAGATCAGCGCCTCGAGCTTATAAAGCTTATCAAGGGCTTACTGACCCAACCCGGCTGGCATTTGCACCAAGCAAAAATTCTAATCCAGCAAGCTTCTTATCCATTTCCAGGCTCGATTACTCACCTCAAAAAATTACCTTCCCCCAAGAAAGCAAGAAAAAGGGAAGTGTTGTTTCGGGAGCGACCCTGGCATGCCACCGGGCTGGGATCCCGGCGGTTCCCAAAACAACGCGCGGGACGTGCGGCAGAAAAGTTGCACTTTTCCCCCCCGTATATTGACGGTTCCACCACAGGTTATCGGCCGTATTTTGGACTCGCGCGGTGATGGGTTAAAGCAAGAAAATTGGATGCTTGAGAACAAAGTCCAACCCGAAATCTCCTTGTGCACACCTGAAAAAGCGAGGGCAGGAGCTAGTTCTTTAGCGGGGGGGGGGGGTAACTTATTTTATTCGGTATATTTTGGATTCGCGCGGTGATGGGCTAAAGCAAGAAAATTGGATACTTGAGAACAAAGTCCAACCCGAAATGTCCTTGCGTACACCTATAGAAAGCGAGGGTAGGTGCTAGTTCGTTAGCGGGGTGGCTAAACTGCTTTAATCAGCGTAATTGCTCTGCTCAAACCCAAAGGTGCTTAAATAAAACGATTCTCATAGTTTTTTAGTATTTTACGATCGTTAAATAGGTATAAAAAAGGTTCGTGCAAAAAGTTCGGCCATCTTTCATACCATTTTCAGCAAAAGTTCAACAATTTTCGAAAAAGCTTGCTAAATTTTTCCCACCTAATCGTGGTCGAGAATGTAATTAAGGTGGTTGGCCTATTCTATAAGTTTCAAAATATATGCGACAATAGGCAAAAGTTAAGCCCCGCGTTAACGAACAGAGCGCCCTTGAGGAAACCAAAAAAAACCTTTACAAATCGAGCCTTGTGCCGGGATCAGCAGCGTTCTTCCTTCATTATCCTATTCAACTCCTGCATAGACCATTCCTGCAATCCTAAAAACACGAAACAGACTTCCCCCAACCTTCCGCACATGATCTTTTTTTTGTCGCTGCAGCGCACGAGCCAGACGGTGAAATCGGGGACGAACGCTGAGAACACCCCAAGCAGGGCCCGCCAAACGAAAAATTGGCCACTTTTTATGCGGTTTTCGCCGGGAGAGCGAGCTGGCTGGCAGAAAAGCTCCCCAGAAAAAAGTGCTCGGAAAGGGCAGATAAGTGTGGGAGAGTGCCGCTGCACTTTCAGATCGTTCCGACGATCGGCCGAGACTGCGTTCACACGGGGAAAAGCCTGAAATGCCCCGGTCAAACATCTCAAATCAGAGTTCCCGGATTGGGCCTATCGTTGCATGTGTGCTAAACATCTGGCTAGAAGCGCTAGAGGTAAATAGGTGCTTGTGCATTATCGTAGGGGGAGTCAAATTTCTTCGCAACGTCCAGAAGGGCCTAATAGCGCCTTTTCGTTGTTTTCGGCGACCTTAACTTATATTAAAGTTATAATTTTTACGGCTTCGAATACTAAAAAAACTGTTTACAAAAAAGTGGGTCCCCCGATAGTGCAAAAGTACGAAGTAGCAAAATCTAGACCAAATTCGCAGTCCGGAGCTAGTAAACTCACAAAACGAAGTCAGCAAAGTTACAGAGGCTTCAACCGGCTCGGATAAAGCTTTACAAAAAGCGGGCGTTTCCACATGACAGATAGATGTGCCTTTACAATTCTATGAAAAAAGTACATCCAAGAAGTCCGCCTCTCCAAAACATTCCTTTTTATAAATAGCCTTTTAGTGCGACGACTATTGTGTAATTCCTAGTATGCATCGACATATATGATAGTTCACAACTTTATTTACAGCCAGCGCCACGTAATGTACAGGAAAATCACAAAGTCACCCGCGACAACATGAGAATATGCACAAATTCGAATAGCTCAAGAAAATACACAACCTGAAATCCAAAGTCACAATTTACAATCAGTTTACAAAAGAAACAGTCGAGAAGAGATCAGTAATAAATAAAGTATATAGCTAGGGGGTAAGAATTGAGGGTGTGGGATTCGAAAAAGGTCACCGACTCTCAAATTGTGGGAGGGACGACGACGTGGAAGCGCTTCAACAGCAGCTCGCGGCTCCACCGGTCCAGCCACTGGTCGAATTGGGCCCGATGGACGGTTTCCGGCTGGGCGACGAGCTCGCTTTGGTCAAACCACAGCCGGTCCTCCTTGTCGACGGTGTGCAGCGCGGCCTGGACGACGTTCTTCGCGGCGCGTTCCTGGAATTGAAAACTTATACTCTGCAAGTCAGCGTAAGTTTTTCTCATCCAAATAGAAGGCGTGCTCCAAACCCGGTTTTACTACCCGTAAACCCGAAAATTTTAAAACAATGTATTAAAAAAGCTAAAGATAGCTATTGCGATACCATTCTAAATTTTTGATAGTTTTAACGTTATAAAACAGTCTGCGCCATAAAATCTAACTAAATTTTGATTAAGCACTATTAAACTGTCTGCTATATCGTCACTTTCTCAGAAATATAGAAAAAAAACTGGGACCATGTTTTTGGGTAAAATCCTGCGCTACATGAAATGACTAAACTTTTAGCTACTAAAAATTACCGTTGAAATCAGGGTGCACGCGAAGACGGCCAGGCCAAGCTTCGCCCTCCACGGCATGTAGCGCGCCATATCGGTCCGCACGTTTCCTGGGTTCACAGCCACGGCAGTGATGGCTAAATTTCAGGGGTAAGAAACGAAAAGCGGTAAATACCTTTGGTTCCGTTGAAAACTTGGGCGAGGCCGGCGATCAGGAGCTTCGAGGCACGGTATTCACCCCAGCCACAACTACAAAAGCCGAATTTAATGCCGGGAAATAAAACTCACTTGTGTGTCTTCTTATTCGGCGCATCCACAATCTTCAAGTAGCCATCCTCAGTTTTCGGCGTTGACCAGAGGAACTTGAAGTCGACACTGGAAAACGGGACGTTGCAAAAAGTTCGAGACCGCCGCACATCGGCGCCAATCGCGTTAGCTCTCCGTCATGGGTTTTGCGCTACTTTTTGCGCCTGCTCGCCAAAAGTGCAAGCGGATACGCGCGTTGAGCGATCGGCTTTGAAATTTCTGCAAAAACCTCGTCCGCTAGCCTACCGAGCAGAGTGCATCCAGAAAATCTCATCTAAAATTTCAAAATTTACCCAATCAACGTCGACGCGAGGCAGACGATGTGCAGTTTGTCCGTGGGCTGCTTCGATTCAATGACGAGCCGGGCCAGAAGGAAGTGGGCAAGATAATTAACCTAAAAATCGATAAGCCAGCAGAGGACCCGGAAATTACCTGAAAGGCGCTGTCCAACTTGTCCTTCGTGCTGCCGTTCGGGTCGAGCATCACGCCGGCGTTCATGATCAGTATCTCGTAAGGCCTAAATCGATGGTTTGAAAACGAGCCAAAACCCTCACTTCTTCTTCTGCAGCATCAGCCAACTGAAGCCGCGCTGGATCTGGGTGAAATCTTCGAGATCCATGACGACGTAGTCAACCCGGGCGTTTGGCTAAAACAGAAGACGAGGCTAAACATGGAATACAACGCTTACATTCCGCCGCAAAATGATCTGCCTGGCGGCCTCGGCCTTCTCTCTGCTCCTTCCAGAAAACGTCACTTCGTGGCCGAGTAGACACAGTTGCTGCACGGTCTCCAGGCCGGAAAAAGAAAGATAATACTCGCAAGAAGAACTAAATATACCAATTCCGCCAGTGCCGCCCGTCAACAGGATGCGCTTCGGTGTCGGCTCGTTCGAGGGGTAGTCGATTGGTCTCATCGCTAAAAAAGAGCTTGAAAATGGAAAAATAAAAGTTCTCCGGGATTTAGAAAAGAGGAGAATCCCTAGTGTAATGAAGAAGCCTTGGAAACACCCTGTAGTTGTAAGCTAGCGAAAACGCGGCACCTCTTTTATAGCAGTCACCCGTCCCGCAAAAGAGGCGGAGTTTTCGGGAAGCGGCAGGGCAACCCGGCCAGCGAACGCCCACCGCCCCTCCTTACGGTAAGCGACGGAATGCGAAAGTGAGCACGGGAAAGCAAGCGAAAAGAGTGCCTTACAAGGAATCGTTTTGAGGGGAAAATCAAGTCGTACGATGTGATAAAGCTCATCCTATAAAACCTGGAATCCGGGACAGGTCACGCCTTTCAAAAAATGCTGAATTAAAACGATCCTCGATAAAATTAAGTTTTTCAAGGCTTATTTTTGTCAAGCGAGAGGCAAAAACGGCGTTTTCCGAACCATTTTTGTTGAGAGTCCTTGACGTTCAGCGCCGTTTGAAAGATGGCACGTGTTCGCAATACCATCGATATCATCCGCAATTCATCGAATAAACTATCTCAAACCGCAAAACTTTATTTTCCCCTAAAAATGACTCCTTGCTAGCTAACCAGTCAGTTTTAAAAATTCCTAAAATGATACCGACTTTCTTGAAAGAGCCGCTCGTCGAAGAACCATTTGAGAAGTCGCACCGGGACGCATTCCTGAAGAAAACCGACTAGATGTGTAAGGAAATTTACCTTCAAAGCCTTCACCAGAAGCTTGTCGACATTCTGGCTAATCGGCAGCAGCATGCCGTTGACGGGCAGGAGATGGCGCATTCTTCGAACCTGCAAAGAGTGTGCTTTAAAAAGCCGGAATTTAGAATTTTTATCTTTTTTTTAGGGAAAACAATAAAACAGCGATAGATTTATAGATCGTAGAGAGGCAGTTTAGATTTTTAAAATCGTGTTAGAAAGTAATAAACCAGCGATGGATCTGCGCACGAGCCCGAGCTCCGTTCCGCGCGACTCCAAATGCCGCTGGTACGGCAGCACGGCGGCGCGTACTGCCGGCCCACGGATTTTAGAAATTTCTATTTTTCGGAAATGAACGAAAACAATGTAACTCTTATAATCTTTAGAAATTTAGCGCAAAATCCGGCGAACCGAAGATGATTAGGTCGCACGGCAGCGGGTGGAAACGGCGCACGATAGGACAGATAGGAAAAGCTCTGAACCAGTTTTTGGCGAGTTTTTGTTTGAAAGACGGATCTACAAAAGTACCCCCACCCCTAACTGGGGGTTTTTTTGCTCTAATATTTTGATTTTCCACTGATGTTGAGTAGGATACGTTTGCGTGACCTCAGACACGTCCTTTATTACGCGTTTTTAGCCCATTTTCTGCCCATTTACCCCAAACATTACCAATAACTCTTTATTATATCAAAGTACTCTTGCTGGCTGACGGCCAGCTTGATCTCAGCCCCCAGCACGTTGTTTAGCTTTCTCAATTTGCTCGTCGGCTGCGTGCGTCGCGTGGCGAAGACGTTGATTCCGGCGTTTTTGCCGAATAACGCCAGGAATTTCTTGCGAAATAGGTCGTGCTGATACAGGATGTAGCCCGGTTGGATGTAGCTGAGCACGGTGCGAATCTGGGGATTCAATTATTATCAATTTTATTTGACCGTAAAACGCTCATTTCGCCGATTTTCCTTTCACCGATTGGTTTTTCATATTTTTTCCCAAAAGAAAGTGAAAAAGTGGCCAATTTTCTTTCCTGGCGAACCAGGTGGGCCTGGTAAGCGAATTTTGGGTGTTTTTATAGTGTTACCACTAGTATTAGGTATAGCTGGCTTATAAAAAGTTTCAAAATTTTTGGAAAGTTTCAAAAAGTCGAAAAAATGATCATTTTGGGCCGAGTCAATCCATTTTTCAGCCGGAAAGCAAAAGATTCACTGAAATTTTATATAGTTTGATGCTCAGGAATATTTAATGACGATAAAAACACTTTCCTCTTGTGATACAAATAAATCCAGTCTCACGCTGAATAACGTTAGTGCTTCTAATGGTTCTCTAGGCGAAAAATGATCGAAAATTTGCATATTTAAAATTAGCCGGTAAAAAAGGAATCGGTCGAATGAAGAATCAGCCAAATCAAAATCGGGGGAAATTGACGTAAATCCCTTGATGAGCCTCAACTATACCAATGTGGTCAGCAAGAACAGGTAAAATTTGGTGTCTTCGGCGCAAGAATCCGTCGGAACGAGGTAGTCGACACCGAAGAGGATATCGAATAGCTGGTCGTTCCACGTGATGAAATTATCGCAGATTAGGAAGGGGATGACGGCGCGCATTGCTTCATAGTTAATTTAATAAATTTTTGTAAAAAGAACTTTAGTTACCTTTAATATTTTCGGCCAACTGATATCGCAGGGTGAGCGATGCGCCGCCGGATTTTAATAATTTTAGGGTTATCGATTTGTTGAAAAAGTAGAGGACGATCATGGACTGGAATTGTTTGTATTTTTATAGGATTTTTATTCAAGGGAGATCGATTTGGCTTAAAGGGCTGCCGACGGCATGTGTCGATCCCCCTCATCAACAAATTGGCAAGTAGCCAACAGGGGAGAGAGCGCGCCCAGGGGAGAGGCGCAGAGACATTTTATTTTCCGCGCGTAACCGCTTCACTATGCCGTCGGCATCCCTTTAAGTGCAGTCCTCCCCCCCCCCCCCCCCAGCCGGCACCCAGCTATCGGATCTCGGCTCCCTGTTCATATTCAGGTGTGTAAAGTATACCAAAATACTCGCCAGGGCAAGACGAACATTTTGGCATACTTTACACACCTGTAGATGAACAGGGAGGCGAGATACAAAAGCTGGGTGCAGGCTCGGGGGCAACCGCACTCTAACCATCGATTTCTCGCCAAAAATTTAGATATATAGAACGTTTTTCAGTATCAAAATGCTGGCTATGCCGTTACCGGTCATTTTTGGCTCTACAAGAAAAAATTTCTAACCCCCCGATAATGCCAAAGCACCACACTCACCAATAACGAAATTATCGATTGAGCAAATAGGACCCAGCCGACCACTTCTGAGGCTCCTAAAGTTATAGAGGTTTCAGAGTGTTTTGTTTATGCTTTTTTGATTTTCTAAACATAGAGAGATCAAAAAGGTAAATAGAGTTAGAAAAAGGGCAGCCAAGACTGAGATTCAACGTTAAATAGCCAACCGAAGAAAATGAAAATGCGAAGTTTGTTAAGCCTTACCAAAATCGGTAAATGACAAAAAGGCAGTGAGGGCGACCTAAAAACAAATATTACGGGCTTTATTGCTGAAATTGGCCTACCGAAATTAGGACACTTGCGGAAAAGGGAATATAACTACGCGAATATTCATAGCGCTCGAAAACCGTGGCCGCGATACGCTCAAGGACACAGGATACGTTAATTGGACTGATGAGGTAGTAGGATATGGTGAGAATATACGTGTTGACTGTCGATAGGGGCCCGTCGTAGCCGGTCATGCTCCACACCTTGCATAACACGATCGCCATCATGCAGATGATGTACAGGATGACGAGGCTCGAGAAGTAGAAACTAAATTTTTCCGTGTTTTCTAAGCGAAAAAGGAGGGTTCCTAATCTGTTTTCTTGCGATTTTTAAACGCAAAAACGATGATATTAAAACCATTATTAAAATACAAGAAATAACGATTTTGAACCGAAATTTTCAGTTTTAGAAAGTTTTTTATGTAAACAGCGTTCCCCCCTTGAAAATACCCAAAAACATGCAAAACATGCAACACAAAAAATGGACATCGAACCAAACTAGCCGATTTTTTACAACATCTACAAATTTCGAAAGGCTTTCTAAATCCTTTTTAGGAAAAACTCTGCAAAGTTTGGCTAAAAACGCGAAAAATGCAGTTTTTTCGTCGAAACTGATGAGCAAAAATTTGTTTTTTTTTGTAAATTTCCAATTTTTTAAGCTTAAACGTGGTTAATTTTGTGCGAAAACACTCTAGACACCTGAAAAACGGATGAAAAGCGCGTCGTAGGCGAATGGTGGTGATGGCCAGGACGATGAACAGCAATATTGTAAAGCATAGTAGAACAATTGAAGTCGTCTGAGCCAAGAGGAATCGAGTCCGGCATGGCTCATCGCCCATCAAACATCAAGCAGGTGCTGAAAAGACGGGATTAAATTGACGGTTTTTACAAGAAAAGACCTGGTACCTGTTGTTGAAGCATGAACAAAATGTTTCGAGGGTAAACTTTTTGCAAATTACTCGTGCTCACTGTCAAACGAGACCAATCACATTTTGTAGGGTTACGTTCAAAATGTCTGATATGCCGAAATTCTTCATGGCGAAACTCATAATTTAGAAATTACGCGAATTCGATGAAAAATGAGGCCGGCATTCTGAATTTCGACATTCTGAAATTTTGACTTTATTAAAATTTCGACCCTATGTTTTCGATTATATCATAGCAAATTCAATCTGTAGAAACAAGTTTTGGTCATAGTTTGTTGTAGCATAGATGACTCGATTAACTCATTAGCACGTTTAGTGGGCCTGGGAATTCCCAGATGGCACGATTTTTGAACGACCAACGGTCCTATTCTTGGCAAAGTCAGAGTTTTAAGGCACTGAAATCATGTAAACTTCAGGTAAAAGACATAGAATTTGACTAACGTTTCTGACTCCTAAATAAATCAGCGTTTTTTTACCCCTAAAAGACCGGCAGAAAGATGGAAAAATCGTCGAGATGCCAAAACTTGAAATTGGGGCTGGCTGGGAAAAACAGGGCTGAAATTTTGTCGAGCCGGGCATTTCTGATAATTGGCGGTTGAATTGGGAGGGTAATTATGACGGTACCGTCCTTTCTTGCCTTAAAAACATTAAAAAATGGAGTTGAAGAAGCTCATGGGAATTTGAGGGAACCAATTTCGTTAAGTTTTGTCTATTTGGGAAAGGGAGCGAGAGAGAGAGAGTGAGAGAGAGAGAGAGAAAGAGAGAGAGAAAGATAGAGAGAGAGCGAGATAGAGCAAGAGAGATGCGAAACTGACTCTTTCAATTGTCCTTTTGTATCTGATTTGAATGCGTTTTCAGGAAACCGGAGAGTTAAAGAGGAACGAGAGAAACAGACACAGATAGACAAAGCGGGAGAGAAAGAGACAAAGAGAGAGAGAGAGAGAGAGAGAGAGAGGCGGAGGGAGAGCGAAAGAACAAGAGAGACAGACCAGCCATAAATCTAGAGCTACTTCCGCCACCTTCCCAGTGGCCGATCAATTTTTGTGAAATTAGGTTTTCGTAACTGCCGGAACCCCACACCCGGGCTGCATATTTGATCAGGTACATAAAGACGGCAAAAAGCTCGCTATTTCCGGCTACAGATTTCCCCAATGAGCCCAGAGATCCATTAAAAATGCAATTTTTCATGCCCGTCAATACCGCTGGGGGCCGCTTGTTATTGGCGTAATTGTAGGAAGCCTGAATTTCGCCTAAAAACAGAATCATTGTGGGCCTCGAGTACGATTAAAAATTGGCATAACATCCGATCTGCAAAACGCACGGAAGCTGGGTATTTTGGGGGCAGAGCGGAAAATTAAAACACACGGATGAGAGAGAGAGGGAGAGTGAGAGAGAGAGAGAGAGAGAAACATACGGACAGACAAGAGACAGACGGTCTTATCGAACCTGAAAGAAACTTGAGAACAACAATTTTCTCAAAAATACATATGGCACCTGGCGGCCCCATTTAATGCGACCGGATTTTTTTGCAAAAAATAGCACTCGGGGCAATTACGGAAATGCGCCGCAGCGAAATTGAAACGTTTCTTAGAGAGAATTAAAAAAAGGAGCAAGTTTCCCAAATAGCTTCTGCAAGCTTGCCCTGTTATGCTTGTAAACAGATGCGAGAGCAGAGCCCGACGTCCTGAATGGTTTCTGCTAGCTTGCCCCAACACTAGCAAGTTTCGACATTTTCATGTCCTGATTTTCGACAATCCCTTGAAAGTTCAGCGTCTTCCCCCGCCTATCTGACCCCTGACTGCTATGTTTTTACAGCCACAAGACCAACCGGAAATGACCCTCCATCCTAGAGGCCTCCCCGAAAACCACCGATAAGAAGGCGTGGGGGCTAGGCACCAATAAGTTTGCTTGCAACCAGCTTGCGCCTATGCTATGAGTTAGTCACCCGGCCAAGGGGCAAGTTTTATCGCAGATAAGGCTAACACAAAACTAAAAAAGTGTTTGGTCTGCTTCTATGCTAGAGGTCTAGATCGGTGGAAGCGTCTTAATCTCTATACGTTTCTCTCTCGCTCTCTCTGAATCTCTATCTCTCTCTCTCGCTCTCTCTCTTTCTCTCTCTTTCTCTGTCGCTCTCTCTCTCTCTCTCTTCTTCGCGGTCTCTCCCTAGTTATCTGTGTTTCTCTTTCCCACCATCCCTCTGTCTCGCTCTCTCTCTCTCTCCCTCTCTCACACACACTCTCTCTCCCGGTAAATTAACCGATCTTAGCTTCATTTTAGCTGCTTCGGCTAAGGCTTAGGTTTAGGCCTAGACTTAGGCTTTGCCTTCGGATAACGGTGCGCTTAAGGGACAAATATTCAAATCTTTATTCGCGAAACTGAGGTTATAATCGCAAATTAATATTCTAAACTAGACTACAAGTTTCGTTTATTTGTCGTAGAATCAGTTCGGTGTCGCGGCCGGGGGCTGCGACAGGGATTTTGACTTCTGCACCCGTCGTCCCGTTTTCTGGTGCCGCTCACTAAACATGTACAGGTTTTTACGGGGGTCTGAAGTAATTGGAATCTGGATTACGCTACGATTGCAGAGTATACAAAAACACTATAAAAACCGACTTCAGTTTCGATCCGGTGCCGCAGAGCTTCTCCACAAGCTTCAGCATGGCGCCAGCTTTTTGAGAATCGTCATTTGAGGCGCTAAAATCAGTTTCGTATGTAGCTAGGAGACCCTTTTAATCGTTAATAGATAAATCATGATAATTGGTAGTTTATTAAAAGTATTTTGGATCACCTTATTGCGTTATTTTTATATTGTGAAGCGTATGCGAATCGGGCGTGCACCGACTGGAACCATCGGAGGAATTCCGGAAGTTGGTTGATGTCGGTTCTGAAAAAAAGTTGATTGATGGCGATGGCATGGCAACCTAAGTATGGTAAAGCCTAAGCCTAAGCCTAAGCCTAAGCCTAAGCCTAAGCCTAAGCCTAAGCCTAAGCCTAAGCCTAAGCCTAAGCCTAAGCCTAAGCTTAAGCCTAAGCCTAAGCCTAAGCCTAAGCCTAAGCCTAAGCCTAAGCCTAAGCCTAAGCCTAAGCCTAAGCCTAAGCCTAAGCCTAAGCCTAAGCCTAAGCTTAAGCCTAAGCTTAAGCCTAAGCCTAAGCCTAAGCCTAAGCCTAAGCCTAAGCCTAAGCCTAAGCCTAAGCCTAAGCCTAAGCCTAAGCCTAAGCCTAAGCCTAAGCTTAAGCCTAAGCTTAAGCCTAAGCCTAAGCCTAAGCCTAAGCCTAAGCCTAAGCCTAAGCCTAAGCCTAAGCCTAAGCCTAAGCCTAAGCCTAAGCCTAAGCCTAAGCCTAAGCTTAAGCCTAAGCCTAAGCCTAAGCCTAAGCCTAAGCCTAAGAAACTATTGACAACCTACTCCATCTCGGCGTGGATCTCCTTCAACCTCTTTCTCGACTTGTCGCGACTCTGCTTGTTCTGCTGAGCTCGAGTTCCGGTGTAGATCGGCTTCCTCCCCCTGCTGCTTTTCTTCTTCTTCAGTCCCGATTCGTTGGTTTCGTTGGAGTCTGATGAGGGCTCCACAGCGTTCGTAGGGTACGGATTTGCTAGAATTTTTGTCGTTTTCCGGACGATTGGCTTTTAGGTACCGTACGGCGTCGTGGCGGGTGGGTGAGATGAGGAAGGTTCTGCTTGGTTCGTTTGGAAGCCTGGAAAGTTTTTAAATTATAAAGCAGTAGAAGCGAAGACGAGACAAGGGAAATTAGAGAGCGAAAGAGAAAAAGGGAGAGATATAGAGAGAGATAGAGAGCTAGAGCATGACCCACCTGAGTAGTAGTTGGTTGTCTCCCCGGAGCACAGAGGCTGATGTGCCTCAAACCCGGGAAACCCGTGCTCATCTCCCACAGAGCCCAAAGTTTCGTAGCTTGCAGACGGCCCTGAACCTAGAAATATGGCAATTTTTACACTGTCGAGGATCCTACCATAATTTTCGATTGGGGATAAATAGTGCGTGTCGTGACTGGAGGATGGCGTGCCTAGATAATCTCTATTAAGAGAAAATTGGAAATCCGAAGCTTAAGCCTAACCTAAGCAAAAGCCGAAGCCTCAACATAAGCCTAAGCCTAACCTAAGCGTAAGCCTACCCGCCGGTCCCGGAAATCGATTGGACGCCTCGATGGGTAAGTGGTACAGCGGAAAACTGGGCGTATCAGATGTCGATTCCTTAAAAACGTACTTAAGGTTTACAGTTAGATACTTACAAAGCCATTTTCAACCCTTGCCGGCAGCGACACGCTGTCATATTTGGTCGGGCTGTCGAGGTGGTCGTTGACGAAATGCATGCCATGCAGCGTCCCGGCTGACGGGATTGTGATGCCTTGCTAAAGATAGGGAAATCAGGGTAAGAGTTTACCTTATCCCCTCCCCCACAGCCGAATGGTCTCAAAGTTTTCGGCATTTTAGTTATTTTTGTCGGGATTTTTTGCAACGCCATTCGATAGATTTTTAATATATAGACGAAGCGTTTTAAACTGAGCCTACAATAACGTCAAATAAAAAAAGTTACAGCGAAAAACTTCCGGTTTGAGGTAAATTATCAAAATCAGAAAAAAAACTTTTGCGTTTTTCGCATTAAAACGGCCTATTAAGCGGAAGGGGGCATAGTGAGCCAGGTGGCGCGCGAGTGGAGACACCGCGTCGGCAGCTCGAAGTCGCGCGGGTAGCTAGAGATATTATTCCTATGAGAAATATCGCGCCAAAATTTAAATAATTAGCCAGTAACTATCCAAAATGTCGATCCTATCGATCTCCGGAAAATCATGACCGTCATGTAATTCCCTTCCGGCCCCTATCAGTGTGGTACCAAGGAACCACTACTCCGAGTTTGCTATATACGCACTTGTCGTATTGGAGTATCCGCTTGTTTTTTTTGATAAAAGGTCATTTGGAAATGTTGCGGAATTTTGAGGGGAAGACTACGCTTTAAGTATCATTAGTGTGCGGCAGCGACAAAATTTTTTACGGTTTTTTTTTGCTTTTTCCTGACGATTTCTACACAGGACGAAACTTTGGACAGCCATTCTGTGCAGAATTTCACGCTGATTTTGAATATGGTTAAAAAAAATCGAGATAAGCCCATTTTTGAAAGATGCAACGCTTCTTAAGATGTTTTTTGGGCGGAAATTGTTGACCGAGGCCTAGGTAAAAATCGGACCTGAGCGAAAGTAGCAAAACTAGCATATGCACCTCGAAAAAATTCTCTCTGCGGTGGGGTACCTCCAAAACACTCTGGATAGCTAATTATAGCGTTTGGGCAAGATATAAACAAATTTCAGCGATCATGTTCTAACTTTAAATAGGGATTTCTGGGAATTCGGGAGCAGCAAAAATTCTGTACAAAATAGGCTTGGCCCTGTGAGAGAAGGAGATGGGGAGCGAGCAAGAGAGAGAACGAGATAGAGAGAGAGAGAGAGAGAGAGAGAGCGAGTGCGAGAGAGAATCCCTGAGAAGGCTATAGAGATCAATCCCAACCTGATAGTCAACGTCCGAATACCAATCGTCGAAAATGGCTGTTGGAAAATTCAATAGCCCGTCGATTTCGTCCAATCCGTAGCTGTTCGGCATGTTTTTGGTAAATCGAAGCGAACTCTTTCTGGTGGGCCATCATGGCTTCCAGGCCTTCATATACCCTTTTTACTGATAAGGCTCATTCATGACTCAGTGCTCGTTGAATTTGCGATTTTTCAAAAAAGTTTTGCGTTTGGCGTCATATCATTTCCATTGCCAAGGTAATTATGCAAATATGGCTGTTGCTTATGTGTTTTAAACGTATCCACATTAGTCACCGGCTTCTGGCCGGCCAAGGAGCAGACATCGAAGCACAAATTTCTCGGGGGTTGAGTGCGTAAGCTTTTCACGGGGTTTTTGCGTTACTTCGAATGGCATAGCTTATCTTACTTTACTTTTCCTACTTTGTTATCTTACCGTTTGAGAAAGGGTCAAGATATTATGACTGATTACGACATGCCGGTCGCTTATTTCAATTCCTTACTTCAAGATTCGAAAATGATGAGGCGGAAAAAGCTTGTCACAGCTATTTTGGAAAAGCAAACTTTCCAACCTTAATTTTTTCAAATCAATATCTCGAAGATCGCGCAAATCCTGCAAAGGGGTTTGCAGAATTTTTTTCGACGTCTCCGGAAAGAGCAGCTCCGAATTAGTAGGGCTGCATGCAGGACGTCCCAAAAAATCAACCCCTCTAGGTCGCTCGCCTCTCATGCTCACCCCTCTTGGTCGCCCCTCATGCTCACTTCGCATGCTCACCTCTCTGCACCTCTCCTATTATTCATACTTTTCCATTTTTTGATTTCCGCTTGATTTTAATGTCAATTCACTAGTGTCCATTCACCCTCTGCCGCCTACTGTAGAACTGTTCTCGTGCCTGCCCTCCGGCTAATCTCCCCCGATATTTTAGTTGTGGTTCTACCAAGGAAAATACGTGGAGAAAGTAGGACCGCTGTGCCCTGCATCGTCATCGCAAAATGATTCGTCAGCAAGGCGAAAATCGCTTCTTGCTGTTCATTTCTAACAGATGCAGAAGTTCGACAAATAGATAAATTTTCTGCGGGATTTTGATTAGGTAACCATTTTAAGTTTCGTAGATATCAAAATCTGAGATAAAGCCGGAGAGCCAAAGTCATGCAAAAATTTGGTCTCTATTTTTCTACATATTCTTCAAAAAAGCAATAGATCCATTCTTTTCCGGGTATATGTTTCCAAAAAAAAACCGGCAGCTGGCGACGTGACGCAGGTGGTCAGTTCTGCTTGGTACGCTCAAGAGAAATTTGTTATTAGGAAAAAGCGGAAAAAAGACGTTCGAAAAAGCGTTTGTGTCCGGCTTTGGTTTCGGCACCAATGACCGGCCTTCCAATCAAAATTCTGACTTATAACCTTGCTGCTGAATTCACTCAGCTTGATAGACTTAGGTTTCGTCTTCGGATTAGTTAGGCTTAGGCTTAGGCTTAGGCTTAGGTTTACACAGCTCCTCGGCTTGTTAGGCCGAGGTTTGGTTACGGTTCAGGGGTTGGTTTTTATATTTCTGAAATCCCCCTCGAAAAACCCTATAATCTGAGGTAGCTACCGTAATCCGGGCACCTGATTGGACACACTCCTTTCTAGGAGCGGAGTGGGTTGGGGCTGATGTGAGTGAATTCCCCACGGAATCCCGGGGGATTAACCGGGATTGCGAGTGCGCCCGGCGTAACTGCTGCCTCTTACATTGGCTTTTGGGTACGGTTTTTGCTCTTGTACTTGTTGCTCGATAAGCCAAGGGCCAGCGATGTGCAGTTTTGTAGTATTTTTTTGCTTGGGCCTACAAACACATACGGGAGCAGTTGAAACTCTTAAAAGTTTGAAAGAAAAAGAAAGGTTTAGGTATTCTGATTATTAACAAAGTCAATATCCTTAACGAAAAATTTCGTCAATATTAAAATGTGATAAATTCGAGTTTAGGAATTTGACATTAATAATGCCGAAATTTCATAATGTAGGCATTAATCAAAAAATTTCATAATATTTCAGCATGTCGCAATTTCATAATTTTGAAATTTAGGATTTCGATATTTAAGTTGTTAGATATTTCTGACATGTTTGGAGAATTTATGAATCCTGATGAATTCGTGAATAAAATAGAAATTTATGAATTTATGTAACAAACTTGAACTCAATGAAATTTGGGCATTCATGGTGCCGATAGTGCGATTTTCGACATTCTAACATCATCTCTGATACAGATTTAGGCTTAGGCTTAGGCTATAGGCTGAAGTTCAGGCTTATGCTCAGGCCCAGGCTTAGTCTTGGGCTTAGGCTTCTTGGGCTTAGGCGCTGCTTAGACATAGTCTTTGTTTTCCGCCCTTTCTAACAAACCGCACGTCCCATTTTTTTTCCATTTAGTCACCCATCCGGATTTTCAGTTTTCCCTCCGTACTCCAGCCGTACTTGTTGATTTTTGGCCTCTTCCCCCGAAGGACATGGTTGCAAATCGGGGGGAGGGGCCCAACAGGTGGATAGACGTCTGGCATCGGGCCCAGTTGTTGACGGGGCGTCGAAGGCCCATCCTAATGAGCGAGAGATGGAGTTGCCGGCGGTTCTGCGTCGTTTTAGAGGTACGGTAGGTCAAAGCAAATTTTTCAGATAACACAAACTGTGGCTAAAATTTTTTCGGACTGAATCGATTGTCCGGTCGAAGGGGATGGAGGGTGAATTCCCACATCGCAGTTCACAAAACTGGGCCTTCTAGCAAAGACCATTTGCGGGATCCGAGAAATTGTCCGTTTTTCGGGAATAAGCCTCCTGGTTCTTCATATTTTTTGAGCGACAAGAAACGGGTGTAAACGGGGGAAAGCAGATTTTTACAATCGGACCCCGAATGCCAGATCTCATTTGCGAGGCCCGAACCATTTACCAATCTTTCCAAGCGAGATTTTAGGAAAGAATAGCACATTTATACCAGATTTATACACAAAAAATTTTAAAAAGCAGACTAACCAGATTAACAAAAAGACTTAAGAACCGGGTTCCTATTTCACATTCCTCCGACTTTTTGAAAAATGTTCAATCGGTAGTCGCGCTTTCAACAAGTAAAATACAGATATTTTTCCGACTTAAATTTCAAAAGATTCCTGCAAGCTGACCCTCAAGATCCCCGAGCTAAAAGATCTCTGAATCCACTGCCGAAAGCTGACAATCTCCGCCTACCTCCAGCTTTAAATGGGCTCATTTTCAGGAAACGGCAGGATAATCCGGGGGTGTTTGATGAGTTCCCCCTGCCGTACGGCGCTCCTCTTCTTAATTCCCGGCTAGGTCAACACCGGCTTATGCGTAGTGGGGAGAACAGGGGGAATTGAGATGGAGCCCTCCGTTCTATAATCCGGTACACCAGCCCTTTCCGGTTACGGTATGTAGAATTCCGGTTTGGTCTACCGTAGCTCCGCGCCGGGGGAGACTCATCGGATTATGTGATTGCAGGGTAAGATTTTTTGGTGAAATTGAGGATTTGGCAAATGCAGGTTAGTCATTCGAGGCCTATTCGGCATTTCCGGTCACTGTAGGCAACTGGTACTAACGTTATGTATTCTTAAGAAAAGGCCTCAGGTAAGTCTAAACTTGAGCCTCGCCGAAGCCTAAGCACACCCTAAAACTAAACCTAAGCCTATGCAGAAGACCAAGCCTAAGCCTAAGCCTAAGCCTAAGCCCACGCCTAAGCCTAAGCCTAAACATAACCTAAGCCGAGGCCTAAGCTTAAGCGAAGTGAATGGCTAGCGCTACACCTAAGTCAAAGCCTAGCCTAAGCCAAAACTTAATTGTAAGCCCAAGTCCAAGCCTAAGCCTACGCCTAAGCCTAACTCTCGGCCTAGGCCTAAAGATTTGGGGAATTTTGGAAACTTCATCTGTAGATTAATCAGATGGCCGGACTTATAATGTGTCCTCGTCTTCCTCCGGTTCAGGCTCCTTTTAGCAAGCCGAGCCAACTAGCAGAGACGATAAAGTAACCTAAACCCACCGTTTAAAGGGATGCCGACGGCATAGGCAATCGGTTACGCGCTGGAAAGAAATTGTCTCTGCGCCTCTCCCCAGGGCGCGCTCTCTGCCCTGTTGGCTACTTTCCAATTTGTTGATGGGGGGGGGATCGACACATGCCGTCGGCAGCCCTTTAATTTTCCACCCCCGGCTTCTCCGTTCCCTCAAAACCAACACGCAGCCATTTCCGCGTCGCTACGTGCCAACCTGAGCATCAAACTGAACAAGAGAATGCTCGTCGAATCTAAAGGAGGAGGAGCATGAGAATGAGCAGAGAACGGCCCAAAAATCTACTTCCTTTTCGGGGAGTTGACCTCGAGGGGCTCGTCGTTTTGTGTGCGGCTTGTGTCTGCCACCCCGTCACCCCTTTTCGGCCTCTTGACGGCGGCACACACCCATTATCCCCTATTCGACGGTCTCTTCATTTTGCCGCGCCTCGCGCCTCTCATCTTTTACGAGGATCAGCACCGAGTTTGAAACTTCCTTGGTTGATCGGCGAGAGCTGCCTGAACGGCGGCTCCCGGCTGCGCAAAGATCTTTGCTAGCTCTGACTCGCTCTTTATCTCTCTCTCATTCTCCCCCCTTCCAAATACTCTCTGCTAGCTTCTCTTTCTATCGATTTCATTTTCCTAAATACTCTTTCTTAGTCTATACTTCCCAAATAATCTTTGCTAGCTTGCCTCGCCCGGCCCGGCGTCTTTCCTAAAGAATCTCTGCTTGCATCCGTTAATGAGCTTTTTTCGGCGTTGATCGTTGTGTTGTTCATGGAAAGCCCGGTCGGAAAAACGAGAACGCTAGCGCTTGAAGCTTGTTAGATGGGTATCGGCAGACGTTTTCACGAAGTTGTTCAGCTTCAGGAAAAAAATAGAGAAGAAAAGATCATTCGAGACGAAATGTTGGAAGGAGCGATCAAGCCGATACAAGTCTTATTTTAAAAATGTCGAAATCACCGAAAAATTATGAATTGCCTGAAGCGCCATAATAGTACGGTAATTTCGAATTCAAAAACTACGTCGGTTCGCCCATTGAGAATCGCGCAGGGCGGC